AAAGAAAGAAAAAAAAAAGAACCAGTGAGAAAAATGAATCCGAAAAAATTAATGCCACAATATATTCTGTAAATATTAATTTGCGTATTATATATATATATAAATTTAATTATATATATAAATATATATATAACATATTGATTATACTATTATAAAAAAATATATTATTATCAATTGTAATTTTTATTTTATTTTTTTTTTTTTTCTTATCCTTATTATCATCATTGTTGATCATTTTTGTTAACTCTTTATTTTGTTATATTTACTGCGGTATTACATAAAAATTTTTCGAAAATAATTGCCTTGTGATTCTTGCATAGTAGTTTCAATAATCTTGAATTTATAAATTAAACACAAGTTAATCCCAATCAGAAGGAATGTTTTCGTATTTTATTTTTTCGAATTTTCAATATATCGAAAAAAAATTATATTTTCAGATATAAATTATGTTTATTAACTTTTTGTGCAATTCTATCACGGACTATGAAAAAAAAGAAAACGAAATTGTTAAACTTTGTAATATCCGTAGGTATACGATTGCGTAATGATATGCTTCTTCACGGATGGAAACGTTGCGTTTAAGACTATACATTAGAATTGTAAGTACGTAAGCGACAGAAACAGACAATTTTGCGAGATTAAAATAATCCCGAAGTTTTTTGAAAATAGTTCCCACTTTTACGTAATACAAAGAAAGATTTACAGATGCCATGGCCTTAAAAAACGTACATCTAAAAAAATTCTTATAATATACATACAGCGGTATTTGACAGATATATCTTAACTGATATTATGTAATCGGTATCAATATCTTGTTGACAAAAAGTTGACAAGAAATGAATTTTTCATGCAGCTCAAATATCATTCAAGGAATTTTAGTAGAACGCAATTTTATTAACAGATGTATATCATTTTATTACTTTAAACCTCCATCAATTTAATGTATCTTTTTTTTTCACTTCTCTATGTTATATATTATCAATAATTTTATTTCAGTTAAATTTTATGATCCATTAAAAAATATAAATATAAATGAACAAATATATATTTTGAATTTTGTAAAAATATGAAGTACGAAATTCAATAATATGCTAATCTAACAACATTATTGTTATTACTATTTTGATACATTGAAATCGATGAAGGTTTAAAAAACGATAAACAAGAGGTTAAGTTGCGATTTCATGAAACGTGAAACGCATAAACGCAGCCTTACATTGTATTTTCATAGTACAACACATCGATGGAAATAATAATCGATAAGTTGGTCGTTTTTGTATTCTCGGGTCTACTTGTTATCGATTGCGATCGAGATGAATCGCCGTGTTTTCGATACATAGGACGTTCAGTGCTTCCGAACCGAACGAACTGTATATTCTTTGATTCGATGATCACGTTCGCTGTTTATCGATATTAGAGTGTCCAAGTAAGAATTATTACTTTAATTATTTATCTTAGAAACTAATTAGAGAAAAATTTTTCAAATAAAAATTATTTGATATCTCAAGGGTTATGTGATAATTGATTTTTTGTAAGTGTAGGTACTTAGAAAAATGATTTGTTTTTTTAATGGTATCCTATATTTTTTTTGACTGATTGTGACTCTCAAAATAAATATAAATATTTATAACGCAGTCATATAAAAAGAATTATGTTATAAACTTATATATTTCTTTTACATGATATGTTTAAAAATCGATTTTTCTTTTATAGTTTCAAAGATAATCAAGGTGTTAATTTTTATTGGGACATCTTGTATAGTAGGAATGGTATTATAATAACAGTGTCTTACCCAGGAGAGCATCTTACGATTTGCGCGATTTATATTGAAAAGATAAGGTTAAATTGAGACAACCGGAAATAACATGAGAAGTAAAGAAAAGTAAGAGAAAAAAGAGGTGTATTACGTGCAAGCGAGAAAGAGTAGTTATCAGGATAGATAGTCAGAGTTTTGTAAGTGAAAAAGAGCAAAACATCTATTTTTCACGAGACGGCGATCGTGAAAATATGTACAATAAGTTCAATTGTAAATACGTCACGCGTAAATATCTTACTTAAGTATATATAATATCGTTCGAAGAAACGATCATAATAATAATTATAATAATATCAATATACTAGCCGTAAGGCCAAAAACTTTGCTCCTTAAAAATACTTTTTTAAGTAGACAAAACAGAAAAAAAAAACGCGCGTTTAAACGAGTCATTGTTTTTTAGCTAAGTAAACTCGATTTCCACGCTTTAACGTTATATAAAAAAAAAATACCGCAAAAAAAAAATGAAAAATGATAGATATACGGTATTCATAATGCCGGAAAAATAAAATATTAAACAAGCAAGATGACGAGACTTTTTTGTATGAACTAATTTTTTTCATATAATTCGCGTTTATTAGATATAAGATGATTGATATAAATCGTTGAATATAATACGTCGTCGCAATACATGAGATGATGAAAAAGGAAAAGGAAATAACTGAAGTCGATATATTTAGAAATGAGTATATGGAAAATATTAATCGAAATTAAATTAAAACAACTCGATTCCACGCATCGAGAATGAAAGAAGCAATACAATATGTATTGTAAAAGTATTAAATACGTGTGGATTTATTTTAATTATTTTCCGTTTCACACGCTAAAAGATGAAAAATGAAAAAGAAAGAAATAAAGAACCGGTAAATGATATACTAGTATATTTAAAAAACTTATGTATACATAGGAATGAAGAAAGGGAGATGTCTGCATAGGAATTGAAAAAATAAATTTTATCTTTGGTGCATAAAAGAAGTATAAAATAATTAATAATTATTAATGATTATTATTTAATCATTAAAACAAAAAGAAACAGGAGAAAAAAAATGGCCTATATATAGAAAAGAATCGTTCTTTTTTAATTTTTTTTATTTTTCTTAGGCGAAACCGACGGACTGTATAGCGTATAGACGTAATAAATTTAGCGATCAAAAAGAGGACTCGAATTCTAGAGATGAGGAGAGAAGAAGACAACGCACTTACGATCATTTTCTTTTTAAATGTAAAACTCGCACTTGCACTCTATTTATCTTTTTCTGCGTTCTATGATGTTCGCGCGGCGACAATTGTATTATTCAAGTGTATAATAGACCACTTAGCCCATAAACCGATATAAAAGATATTAATTCGATAATTGGACTCGATCAACGTTTTTGTCCAAGGTGATGCAGCCAAGATTATTTTTATCCCCTTGAAAAATCGCCGACCTAAACATTGCAATAGTATATTAATCTCGAAAAATTTCACGATCAATAGGAATTTTTGTTACTATTAATTTCTTTAATATTTATTTAAAAAGAGAAAACAAAAATTTCTCAATTTTGTTTAAAACAAACATTTTATTGAACAAAAATTCTGTCAGTTTGAACAGTACAACGCAATGCAGAAATCAAAAAAAATAAATTGACTGTATCGTCTTGCGCATGCCTGTGTATTATAGTGAAACGCACGAATTATCATGTGTCATATAAATATATACATATAAATATAAAATATATATATATATATAAATACAAAAAATATATATATAAATAACTAACAATAATGATAATAATTAAGTACCTTACATATAAGCAGTATCCAAGAAATCCGAACTAGTTGCACCAAGTGCCATAGTCCATAGGTCACAGTACGTTTAACATAGCGAGGGTGAGACTATTCGTAGCAGTTGCTAGGAATAAAAGAAAAGAAAAAGTATTAAAAAAAATGGGGAAAAACTGAAAAAAACATCCACATAGAATGAATAAAAAAAGAAAGAAGAAAACGAAAAAAGAAAAAGCAGGTCGAACACGTAGCGTTCGACGACTAGCTATGTCGTGTTCTTATTGCTTATTGTTAAGGCAAACGAGCGCGAAGCAGCAGCAAGCAATCAGCTAAAAACACGCAAGGAAGAAAAAAAAGTAAAGGGAGAAAGAGAAGGAAAGTTATGTAGTCCGTGTGACCCGAGATTTCCAATGGGCCGGTTTCGCCCATCTTTTGGAGAACGTTTTAGAGCATAAAGCAGACACCAATATGACAATATACTAATGAAATTAATTTCCGGCTCGGTTACTATTACCCATTGCCTCCACATCCCCTTTAAAAGAAACTTGGAAAAATTAAAAAAAAAAAAACAAAACACCGGACATCCATTTATTGTACAATTTCGCCGTTTATTTTTCGACACGTTAGTACATGCGATTAGACGTGGATCCGGCTCGCGTAATCCATGCGTTCCCCGACAAAAGAGATAAAGAATGCGAGAGAGAGAGAGAAAGATCGAACGAGCGTGAGAGAGGGAGAGAAAGGAAAAGAAGAAACACAACTGTAAAACACATTATGGCCGTGAATGAATCGAAACGAGATGCGTGTGACCGTTCTTTTTTTTTTTCTTTTTGCGAGAACATTATCAATTATCTTAAAGGAAGAAAAAATGACAAAAAAAACTGTAGTAACGTCGCAATTGTATGTTGTAAACATTACTATTTCAAATATAATGTCATTATTAACAGGAGAGAGTTTCTCACTTCCGATCACTCGCAGAGAACCTCGAACAGGATGAAATCTTTATTTTTTTTATATTTCAGCAGATATTAAAGTTCAAGCAGCAAAAACACGGATGCTCAAAAAAGGTAAAATATTTTTATTTTTAATACACATTCACCATCGATCATGAAATTTATAAATCTAATCAATTCAATCTGAATAAATGAAGCAATACCTCTATCTACTTAAATTATCTATTGCACATATTTGTTTAATAAAAAATAATGTTAAAAAATAAAAATTAACTCTTTATTTTCTATAAATTTTATTTCTTGTTTATCAATTCTTTTGGAAAAAAAAAACAATTGATTAATCAATTTATCTCTACTCTAATATTATTTTCTATTTATATAAAAAAAATCAAATAAACAATTAAAAACAAACATCATTAGTGAGGGTGTTTTTAATAATTAAACAATACATCCGAATTCGATCAACATTCTTGAACATAGCTTTTGTATCATCTATATATAAAGGGTCGTGACATGTCGTGAGGATTCGTTGCTATTCGCAAGCTATCGCGTGTGTGCGTTGCGCGGAGCATACATAGGGCCTATATATCGTGCAGGAATCGAGAGCGTCGAAACACGAAGCGAGATCAGACTGACTTTACGAAAATCGATCGGCGCTCATCGTCGTCGGGTTAGCGACGCCTGCAAAGCGTGTCCATTGCAACGACGCGGTTACGAGAAAGCACGGCTGACCGGCTCTCTCTTATCACTTTCTGTCTTGCTCTCTCTTTTCCTGCCAGAGAACAACCCTCCAAATGTCGAGAAAGCTTTCGTGTTCTCTGAAACGAATATTCAGTCAGTTCGCGAAACAGTGCAAAAGAACAGTGTTCGCGTAAACGAAAGGTGAAAATTCTTCTATCTCGTCCCTTTATAATTGATTAAAATCGGGTAACGGATGTTGTCCAAAATCCAAAAACATATAAACGGAGAAACGAAGAAGAAGAAAAATGAGTTCCTTCATGGTACGATGAAAAGCTTCCATAGCAAAAGCTCGTCAAATTTGTAAGATATATTATTCATCCTTGAAAATGATGATTTTTATCCAACAAGGGTGTAGGGAAAATATAAAATTATCCTTTTAATCGTTATCATTATTGACAAAACGTATGTGTGGGTTAATAAGAGCCGGCATTTTTAACATTCGTGAAACGACAATAATTTTGAACACGTTTGTACACGACCTACTAAACTACAATCCATCGAGACACATCAAAGTTGATTCCAATTACATTTTCCAACCTACCAAATCAATGCAAGCAAATTAAAGCAAATACAAAAGCTTCCTCATTATTCAACTGGACAAAGATGAAGATGTCAACCAGAATAACGTAAAAAAAAAAAATCTTCAAATATCTGTATCGTATTTTTAACACGAAAATTCTTATTTATAAACGATCCGTTCTCGATGTACGCTTTAAACAGAGAACGAACAAAGGAAATTCGACCGAAAGGTTCCTACAATAGTAGAATTAATCGGTGAACGAGTCCTGCGCCCTGTCCCTTTATCATTACTCCAGAGAAAGAGAAAGAGAAAGGAACGAAGAAAGTTGAGGATTCGTACGTTTGTCGAGCATACGAAACACAGGAGGTGGGAGGAGGCCGTCTACCTCTCGACGTGGAATGATAATAAAGGAGAACCACGGGACAGACCGGCACAGGGCGACATTATGCAAAGAGCGGATCTGAATATACCGAATTTATCCCTTAGATCATTCCCCCTTGGAATGGCGATAGGGGTGCTGGCCGATATCGCGATCAAACTCATCATCAGTGGCTACGTACTTGCCGTCGTGTATGTGAATGCCACAGGAAACTGGGATAAGGACGATGATTTAGGTACGTTGGTCGCCTTTGCAGTGAGATTGTACGAAGAATAAAAATCATAAAGAAGATTTGGAAATAAAATATAAAATTCTATGTTTGTCTTTCAAGTGGGGATTAATGTAATTTATTGATATGTATATCAGAGATATGTGGCTGACTAAATATGAGTTGTATCTACTTAAATAGATATTCAGCTATGTAAAATTTGAAATACAAATATTTAATATTTGTTCCAAATATTCAAGGTTAGCTGGATTTTAAATAGCTTTTATGTACACTGATCAGTCATATATCTAACCAAATATCTAATATATTTATTTTTATTTATTTATTATTTATTATTATTTACTTAATAGCTTACATTTATTTATTTTGAAACGAATAATAAATGAAGAACTATCGAAATTCTAAATATTCATTCTAAATAATTATTATATAAATACTTTTAAAGGATTTTTACTTATCTAAATATAATTCTCTATTTTTTTCCTTTTTCTTTTTTAGTCGCAACTTTTGAAGTCAGTGCCGTTCTTGGACGTACCGCTAGATTGCCTTGTGACATTGAACCGTCCACGCGTGAAGATCGCGTATACATGGTGCTTTGGTTTCGCGACGATGCTGTGAAACCGATCTACAGGTATCATTCATTTCGAAACTTGAAAAATTTCGACTCGAAACAAATATTTGCACAATAAATGTCTTTTTTTCAGTTTCGACGTCCGAGGAAGATCATTTAACAAAGCTCTAAATTGGTCAGATAGCACCGTGGTTGGACCGAGAGCTTATTTCGTCACCATGACAAAACCAGCCACTCTTTCTCTAGAAGCTGTTCAACTGGACGATGAAGGAATCTATCGGTGTAGAGTAGACTTTAAAAATTCGCCCACAAAAAATTTTCAAGTGAATCTCACAGTAATAGGTAAGAATCTTATCTTGAAAAAAATATTTATCCGATAAGAAATTTTTAAAAGACTTTTAATTATTTATAAATTATTTTCAGTTCCACCCTATCAACTTTTAATTTATGATACTTCTGGTGTGGTGATAGGGGATACCGCAGGACCATTTCAAGTAGGTGTCGAGTTTGGTTTATCTTGCGAAGTAAGGGGAGGTAATTCTCATTTGTTCAACTATTTAAAACTATCAAAATAACGTAAATTTCACAAAGTTGAAAATTGGATTTTTTAAAATATAGGCAAACCAACACCGGTAGTCAGTTGGTTGGTTAACGAGAAAGAAGTGGATAGCAAATTAGAAGAAATTGGAAAGAATTTAGTTGTCAGTAAATTAACAGTACCTCAATTAAGAAGAGAACATCGTAACACCACGTATAAATGTCGAGCCTGGAGCACGAATCTTATACCTCCATTAGAGAAAAGCATTCTTTTAGACGTTTATCGTAAGTATTAAAAATTTATTATATTATATATTATATTATCGAATTATTAATTTTACACACATACATACATATTTTTTTATCATTTTCATATTTTATCGTTTCAGTGAAACCACTGTCAGTAAAAATTTTAACGAAACCAACGATTCTAGAGACGGAAAAAGATTACTCCATCACATGTGAGACTACGGGGTCACATCCTCAAGCACGTATTACTTGGATGGAAGGAAACGCCATTTATCACAATGGCAAAGTATATATTGATGATTTGCTACAAATTTGTAAGATGTATATATATATATCATCATTCGCGGATGATTCAATTATGTAGGTACTCATTGGAGGTAATTCTTCGGTGGTCATAAGTACGCTCATATTTTCACCGATCCCGGATGACCATGGAAAGATTCTCAAGTGCCGAGGAGAAAATCCAAAACTGCCAGATGCATATCTAGAAGACTTTTTTCAATTAAATGTAGTTTGTGAGTATTTTCAACACTTCCTTATAAGAACAATATTCAAATAATAATTGTATACTTTTCATAGTTCCACCTAAAGTACAATTACATTTGGGCAGTACCTTAAATGCAGAAAAAATAAAAGAAGGTGATGATGTTTATTTTGAATGCAAAGTTCGAGCTAATCCAGAACACCATAAAATTACGTGGAGACACAACGTGAGTAACTTATTGTTAGTATCAATTTATTTGTCATAATATTAATCATAATAATTAATAATATTGTCAAATAATTCAAGGATGTGATATTAACACAAAACCAATCGGCTGGAATAATTATGAGTACCCAGAGTCTTGTACTGCAAAAAATAGGTCGTGATAATGCCGGAAATTATACATGTCTTGCAAGTAATGATCGAGGTGAAACTATAAGTCCAATAGTAACTTTAAGAGTACAATGTAAGTATGAAATGTGTTATAAATATTGTAATTAATAAATAATTCTATATCTATATGTATATTTTATATATTCTAATTATATGTATTTTTTCTATCTATATATTCATTATTATATATATATATAAGAATATATATATATATATATATTCATTATATTCCATTTTTCAATTTATTTTCTTTATCTCTGTTTAGTTGCACCTGTATGCAAAGCAAAAGAAGTATCAGTTATTGGAGCATCATTAGAAGAATCAGTAAAGGTTCGTTGCGAAGTAGAAGCTGATCCTAACAAAGTAGAATTTGTTTGGGAATTCAATAATAGCGGAGAAAATTTCGAAGTTGCACCAGCAAAATTTGACGATAACAATGGAACAACTAGCGAACTTATTTATACTCCTGTTTCTGAAAGAGATTATGGAGCTTTAACGTGTTGGGGAAGAAACGCGATAGGAAAACAAGAAGCACCTTGTATTTATCAAATCATTCCAGCAGGTAATTTGTGAAATATATTTGAAATTTCATAATGAAATTTATATTAAATACATATTAAAATTTCATATTAAATAATTATCATATAAATGTATGATCAACTGAATTTATATTTCTAGTGAAACCAAATCCTTTGAATAACTGTACAATAAAAGCATCCCTAAATCAAAGTTCTGAAATCTTGGAAGTAGAATGTGTACCAGGATATGACGGTGGATTAAGACAAGAATTTCGATTAGAGGCATACGAAGTCCTTACTGGTAATTTAAGAGTAAATGCATCAAGTGTATCCGCAGATGTACCGATATTTAGAATCGCCGTAGCAGATCTTCTTCCAGCGACCCATTTTTACCTTGTTACTTATGCCGTAAATGCAAAAGGAAGAAGTGAAGTGAGTCTATTAGAGGATATCATGTTGAGAGATTCTGAAAAGCACACAGGTAAGAATAGCATTTAGAAAGATTTTAAGATTATGTATTCTAACAAGATAATATCAAATATTTGATATTAAATATTTCTTATTGGCAATTTTTGTTTTAGATAGCGGAGTGAGCATGGTTCCTCTTATTTTGCTTCTTATTGGTTGTCTGATGGCATTTGGTGTCACTGTATTGTCGGTGATGTTGATGATGTATCGACGCAGAGGTACTACTTCTCCGGTTCACATTGAGCCCTATATGAAACAACCAATAATTACTCCTCCAGATTCGAGGAATAATTCCATGCTTGATGTCACACATGGAGATCATACTTATTTCGTTGAATATACATTAAAACAAGTTACTGATTATGCACTCAATAATCAGCCAGATATCATACAATCGCCGCAAGGTAAACATTTTTTTTTTATTTCTGTTTATAATATAATGCATAAGTAAAATAATATAATGATAAATTACAGATCAAGAAAAAATAAAACGTGAATCACAATTATTTTTACCTGTACGACCAGATACATTATTTGCACCATACGATATTCATAAACAAGGACTTCAAAGTAATAGATGCAGCGTAAGTATGCAAATAATATTGTATTGTATTATTAATAATAAATATTAATAATAAAAAATAATAATATATTTTGTAAATGTATTTTTTTTTCAATTTTTATTATAGTCAAATCCATTCTTCACAAAATCTTGGGAACCTATTAGTTTTAAAGCAGATCGTAATTTAATGAAAGAAATCATTATCGCCAACTCTATACCTGGTCCAGAAAGTTGTGTATAAAAAATATCTTTAAAAAACGAACGAGCCAAACATATCAAGAGGACCGATATTACAAAGCCTAAAAAACAATCGTACTGAATAATTATATTGACATTGAAAACGAATGTCAAATGAATTGCAACTGGTCTTCTTGTTGAGTTGGTGTAAATTGCACGACGGATAGGCACAGTACGAATATTACGACGTACATATTACACTGCTTACAGGTCAAATGTCTCATCATTGAAAAATCTATGGAACTGAAAAAATTTAGGAAACGTCAAGACTAGTTGCATATTAATTAAATGCTACACATGGTGTATTATTCCAAGTTTAATATATTTTGTGTCAAGTCTTAGATGGTTTCCTTATTCCGATGAGAATTTCCCGTAAACAATATCCAATATCTTCTCCGTCGATTTATCTTAATTTGTTGTGTCTATCGTGCATATTTAAAATAATGCATGTTTGACGTGAGTATATCGAAGTGATGTGACGCAAGATTTCCCATTATTACAAAGATATGCGTGAAAATAAATGCCGTAAATTGATACCATCAATGCAATAATTCCAGCAATTAATACTACCATACAAATTTTTCTTCGAATTCTTTTTAAAGCACATAAACACCATGCTTGACCAGTCCATATTGTACTCTTTGGAACAAGTAAAGTTTTCGGTGTAGTTTCTCTTACGTTCTTATATGAGATATATTCTGGTTCTTGCATATATTTTTTTTGCCATTCATTTGATATTGAACATAGTTCAAACTGGAAAAAAAAATTATATTAATCTTTTTTGATACATGAATAGAAATTATAAATTAGAATTTTCATTGATATTTAATTTAATGTTACTTGAGTATCGTAAAATTTATGTATTTGTCGACGAACTAACTGAATTATTTTACATTTCTCGTGTTTTAAATTTTTTATAAATTCGTCTTGATCAATATCATAAATACTTTGTTCGTAAATTTTTTCATCTTCGTATTTCTCAGAACATATATTTCCATCGCATATCATTTTTTACTTTACATGCCATTTTTCTGTGCAATAGAAAATTACAAATGAAATTCTAAAAAAAAGTTGAAATACTAATATATTTTATTAACATAATTTTAAAGTTTCAAGATATTTTCATAACCATTTTCTTAATTGAAAATTTAACGTAATGCATCATATTAAATCAATTGTACAAATCAGTATGAAAGTTTGTAACAAAATATCTATAAATTTTATTTATTAATTATTTATCTATAAAAACGATATAATTTTATAGATCAAACCAATTACTTCAAGATACTTTAATTTAATTCGAGCACAAAAACATCAAAAATCTCCTTGTCAACCTCTACCTCCCAGAAAGAAAATAAAATATCCTGATTTTTGTGATAAAAATATTAAAAAAAAAAAAATTGAGGAGAAAAAGTTTCCACGGATTAATATAAAAGAGGAAATGGAAAATCTAGACTGTCCATGGTGCAGATAATAATAAAAACTACAAAATAACAAATATATTTGGCATTTATTTTTAATTTTATAAATTTAATAATACATCAAAATATATTCAAATATAAATAAATCACACCTTTTATTTAGCAGAAAAAATATATAATAATTAAATATATATATATATATATATATATATATATAATTTTTTTTATAAAATCTTATATTATTATTAAATTGTTATAAATCAACTATTAATTAATTTTTGGTTTCTTTTCTGGTGGTGGTTTCATGTCCTTCTTTTCTGTTTTTATTTCTTGTTTAATTTCCATTGCTAAAAAATTAACAAAGATTTATTTTTATGCTTAATATATCTTTTAAAAAATGAAGAACTAAGTACTTACAAGGTTCTATAGCTTGATGTATTGGCTTTGGAACAGGTAATGGAAATTTTCGTGTAAGTTCAGCAAGTAACATATCTACTCTTTGACGTTGAAATAAAGAACTTGGTTCTTCACGAACAGGTGTCTCTTTTTTTGCTGCCATAGCTTTTCCATTTTTAAAATCCCAATAATAACCTTTGCTAGGATGATATCTTGAACATGAACTAGCTTCTTCAAAAGCAGATTGTAAATGATGTACTGTAGATAACTATAAAATATAATTTTATATATTAACAATATGTTTTAATAATGTTCATAAAAATTTTCAATAAATCAGAAATCATAAATCAATAAAATATACCAATCTAGAGCTCACAACTGATGCCAAGTCAGGAGCTTGATACACAACACCTGCAATAATATAATAATCTGCAAGTGGTGCTGCTAAAGTTGGAGAATGACGATGTTGCTTTCTGATTACATATAAAATAGGGGCTTGTACATGTAAAAGAATATATTCCAATCCAGTCATATTTCTGAAATTAAATATTTAAATATTTATATTATTTTTTTAAATGATATTTTCATTCATATTACTTACTGTAATTGATCAGGACTTAAACGTTGCATTTTAACGATTTCGTTATTACATGTTCTATCATAAAAAGGATTACTCCTTTCTGAAAAATAATCCATTATATTATTTGGATTTAATACAGGAATCCATGCACTGTCATGCCAAGAAAGTCCCAAAGGATTTTCTATCAAATAAACATCAAAAACAACAAGAGGTTAGAAAATACATAAACAAATTTATTATATTAATTATATTGATGATTTAATTTTTATATATTATTACCTGTTACAGCAGGTCTTCCAGATAACATTTTTATTTCATAAATTATATGATTATTAAATATGATTTAAAATAATTTAAAATATTCGTTTTTTATTTACACGATTTAGTATTGATTATACAATTGTTTTCTTCAAAAATTCAAATATAACATTTTTATTTATAATTATAAACATATATATAAACAATCTGTATAAATATTATTATTTATTTATATTAAATGCTAAGAAATTAGAAACCATCAAACAAATCACCAAATAAATCAACTACTATGATCATTAATGGTTCTCATATATTTTAAATATTCAGATTTTAAATCTAAAATATTAATAAAAGAAAAAAATAAAAAAATATATGAAGATTTATAAACATTTTTTTGTTATTCCTTTTTTTTATATACAATAAATATAAAAAAACTTGTCTATATTCTTGTAATTATTTGAAATCGTTTCATTGAAAAATGTTATTGACCATCACTGTTGAAATAAAGAATGCAGGACATTGTCGCATATAGAACAGAAGCTATTAAAAAATGGGTCAAATGCAAAAAAAGATATTCATGTTTAAAAGAGAATAGGTCATGGACATGTTCCAATAAAATACTTTAACAACAAGGAAATTTATATATTAATTTATGAAATTATTTACATCTTTTACAAATGAAATATATCTAAAAATAAAATAAAAAGTCAAATAAATGAAATTATTAAAAATTTAAATCATAAAAAATTAATTAAAAAATTATTTCTAAAAGATAAAATATTTTTCATTAATTAATTGAAATACTATAAATATAATGAAGATTAATAATATAGTATTGATAAATGAAATATAGAATAAAAATCATTAATTTTCCTTTATTATATGAGATATGAGATATTTGATCACATATAAAAGATTTATATTTGTAGTTTGTAAAATATATTTTTGAATGAGGTATATATTTTATAATATCGCCGAGTACAAGAAGAATTTTACATAATAGTGGGGATATGTTCAACAGAAGTATCATTCTTGGCTCAAGATGATATTAATCTCAGAGCTATTTCCACGCGAGATATATCCAGGTGAAGCACAGTGACTTTTAAATTTAATTATCAGATTATTTAATTAGAAAAATACGGTAAGGACATCTATATCAAACTATTTATATATTACACTTGTTCACATTGACACATGTTATTTTTTATTTTTTTGACATCTTTCAATCACAAGTTGTCGCACAATTTTCTATTTAAAGTTAGAAGAATATATTTTCCAAATATGATCTCTTTATTGAAATATTTTTCACATAATTAATATAAAATATGTATTATTCAATCTATTGAATTTTTGTTTTATATCTTTGTATTATAATTTATATAAAAATATATTTTTATCGCAACATTATCTTTTTTTTATGAAGAGATTTTATTTTGAATATCTATTTAATGACTAAATTATTTCTTATTATTTTTTTCAAAAAAAATTATATATTATAAAAATTATATATATTATAAAAATTATAATTATAAAAATAATTATTTTATTGTTAATTTTTATTATAATTTTTTTATATCTTTAATTTGTTTTGAAATTATAATTATAATTATTATTAAAACTTTTACAGTTTTATTTCTAAAATATATTAAAATTAAAAAAAATTTTTTAATTAAATATCATAATAATTTTTCAAACATTACATTATAATTTATGATTACAGAAAAAAATGACCACTATTGACAAGGAATATAAAATAATACCACTTCATAAAAGACCAGATTTAATTCCAGATTGTTGTACATTACTGAATTCTGAATGGCCAAGAAGTGAAACTGCACGGTATATTATAATTTTTAATTTAAAAAATTTCTATTTGAAAATGAAATAAATTCCTATATATAATAGGTTAAAATTTCTGAATGTATCATGTGATGAATTTCCCACATGTCTTATATTAGTTGACAAAGAAGATAGAGTACTTGGTCATTGTAAAATATCTTTAATACCTAGATTACGTCACAGTTGCTTTATACAATCAGGTAAATATAATTATATAAAAAAAATGAAATGAAAATATATATATTTTCAAAACAAAATTTAATTTCTTATTTCATGTGTTAGTAATAATTGACTACCAGTGTAGATCTCAAGGACTTGGATCTAAATTATTACGTGGAGCTGAAGAACATGTAGCAAAAAAAGGAATTAAAAATGTATATTTAATAACTAAAGGTCAAGAAGTTTTTTACTTTAAAAATGGTTATAAAACCTGTGATCCATTTAAAGCATCAGGAATTAATGATGTTGTATATTCTAGTGCAGCATTTACTAAAGCAAAACTTAAGGAGAAAAATACACAGTGTTGTGGTCCACCACCACCTCCAATGCCAAACTTTCAAATGCCAAAGTTTTATGATTTAGGTGTTATAACACACAGAACACACATGGTAAAAAAATTATCATTACAATAGTAAAACAATGATAAACAATTTTCTTTTTATACATAAGATTTTTTATATATTCCATATATATATTATTTATTTATTTATCTTAAAGAAAATTATTTTTTTAATTTTAATTTTAATTGCTTTTAAATGTAAAAATGTTTTTCATGCATCTCATTCATATATTACAAATCATAATTTACAATCATTCCAATAGATGTTTAAAATCACAAATATTCTTTAAAAAATTAACAATTTCTTTTGTACAAATTAAAAATAGTAAATTTCTAAATTTATTATTTATTTTTTTATATTCTTAAAAATAAACAAAATTTTATAAAATACTTTTAAGTTTTTTATAAATTACAAAATATATTTTTTGTTATTATGCAGTGTTAGCAATACCACAAACTTTTTGATAATGTTCTGTTTGTTGAAGACTTTCAATAAGAAAAGCACCTAAATCATGTTTGGAAATAGCTCGACCTGGAGATTCATCATGTTTCACTATATATTTTGAATTTGGTACATCTACAAATTCATAAAATATTAATCTTTTTGAATTGTAAAAATATATAAATATACATATATATATATATATATATATTAATATATNTATATATTATTATATATTATTATATATTAATATATATTATTAATATATATATATATATATTAATAATTTCTTAAAAAATTATAATTAAGTGATATAATATTTATTATAATAAACACCTGCAATATGAGGTGGTAATATTGCAATCCATTTTAATTGACTTTCTTTAAGAAGATCAAACATACGTTGATGATCTGCATTTAAATCTTTAAATATGTTAGGCACTGCTTCAGGTTTGTAAAATAAAAATGCTGTAAAAAAAATAAAATGTTATTAAAAAATGTAACAACCAATTCTAATAGAAAAATTAAAATTACAAATTACAAAAATTTACCAGATAAACAAACAGATACTACTTCTACATTATGTATTTTCATAGCATCTATTATATTTTTCATACCAGTAGACAATGTTGTAGTTGGACCTAAATAAAAATTTGCAATGAAAATTGAACTTGTATTAAGTCAAAAAATATTATAATATATTATAATATTTAATTATAATATTATAATATATTATTATAATATTTTATATCAAAAAAAGATATTTACTTAAATCATTTCGTGTACCAAGCACAACAACCACTGCATCAGTATTAGATATTGCATTTGAAACTTGTTCTTTGTTAGTAACATCTCCAATAATTATTTCAATTTTATCTTTTAAATTCATTGGAACTTTGTTTTCATCTCTCACAAATACCTTTACATTTAATCCTAAATGTTTTACATGATTAATAAATTATGAAAATTATGAAAAAAAAATAAAATTAATTTTATAAGATTTACACTTTTCAAATATATTTGTATTTTCTTAAGAAAATTAAAAAAAAATTTATTTGATTATTAATGTTTTTATTAAGATTATTCTTTGTAAATATATTGAACATATATAAAAATACACAGAATTAAATACATATACATGTTTAATAATATTCATTAAATTTCATTCATATTATATTTTGAATAATTAAAATCACTTTTTGGCACACATTAATGAAATAGAAAATAAATAACATTTTACCCTTATTTACAGCACTATTTAAAGCACATAATCCTGTATTTCCCGTAGCTCCAAATATCACTATTCGATTCATGGCGATACAATTATTACAATAAATTCGCTATTTCTACTACGTAAAATTATAATCACTACATAAAAGTGCTATGTCATATTTATATAGAATTTAAAATTCTAATCTTAAAATCTTTTAAATCAAGATAATAATATCATTTTTATTAGAAATTTTTATCTTATTTCGGAAGATTTGCATATAAATTCACAGTTAAGATATTTGTTAAACAGTTGTTTTTAATAAATTTTAAATATGAAATTGCTGTTATATTTTTTTTATATGCTATTGATATATACATTATACAATATTTAATATTTTGCCTATAAATTAGATAAAGAAAGTAAATAGAATTTATATTAGTGACACTATATATGGATGAATATTGTAAGCTTTAACTTGTAATTTTATATATATATATATATATATATATTATAAATCAAATTATATATATATAAATTTTTATATGTTCTACATATGTTTTATTAAAATTTTTTATGAGACAACATGTATTTATATGTGTGTATATTTATATATTGAGAATATGGATTTTTAATTTTTAATATATATTACATATATTTTAATATATGACTTAATTTAGTGATTTGTTATCTTAATATAATGTACAGAATATCTCAAATATAGATTAAATAAAGATTTCTAAAGTAATTTCATGTAACATTTTTCTTTGTAAAAATTTTCGTTATTGCTTTGTTAATGAATTATTAACGAAAAACATTGGCCAATCACGAAACGCATAAACTAGTTCGCAGTAATATCGGCTGAACACGAACAAATCTAAGTAATATGTATTGAAAAAATCTGTCCAAAGGAAAATGTTGTATGAAATTACATTAAGAATTTCCATATTTTTGTGACACTTTATATAATGAAATTGATTTAAAAGTAATTGATAAATTGATAAATTGGTAAAAATAATTATGTTTATAAATAATTATTAATAGTATTATATATAATAATCTATTTAATAAGTTTGATATTTCAATTAAAAAATTTTATATTTAGCATATAAATATATAAATTAACATATAAATATATAAATTTACATTTATATATTGTTATTACATATAAATATCTAGTTTTTAATCAAAAATGATAATCTTAATAAATCCAATTTTATAATGATTTATAATGATTTTGAAATCCAATTTTATAATTTTATAATGAAATAATTATTATATTTTATAAAATACAATTTATTTAATATAACTTAGTAATATTATTAATAATATTTTTCATACTTCACATAAAATATGTTATTTGTTAAAAACTATAATTTATAATTAATTTTTAATTAAAATTGAAAAAATGTATATAAATTTATATACTTATTATATATATAGTTATATATACAGTATAAGTATACAAGATAATTTTAAATAAAACTTCTATCTTTATATTATGTTCTGTATATCTTTATATTATTTATATCTTCACAGCACAATATTAATTCATTATTGATTAAATATCATATACAAAATTTTTATATTAATATTATTAAAAAATTTTTTTATTATATAATAAAATATTAACTTTATGTTAGGCATAGTAGGATGGTGGCATGATTAAATCTTGCAATACTGTTAATTGTTCTTCTGTGAAATGTTGTGTATATTCTTCTACATCTTTCCATCCATTATGAGTTCTTTTAAAATCATCTAAAGTTTTTTTAATTGTCATCTGTAATTCATAAAAATTTTATTATATAATAATAATTTTAATTTTATTATATAATAATTTTATTATATAATTTTATTATAATAATGTAATTATTATTTTTACATTCATGTTTTGAATTTATTAAATACTAACTGGTATAGGTTGTGGATCATTCATATGAGCACGAAGATGTTCAAAAATTGGAGGTACATATTTTGGTATATCATATGGATTAGCTTGTACAAATGCACACATTCCTATTATAGCTGCATGACGAATACGTAAAGCATCAGTTTTTAACTTCTTTTTTATTTCTTCTTTATAATTTAATCCTTCTTTTTTATATAATTTGGTTTTTGCTTTTTTTTTAAATTCATCCTAAAAAATTTATGTATATGCATATACAAATTAATTATTATAAATAATTATCACAAAATTTTAAGTTTACCAATAAACATTCTTGCTCAGGGATAAACATACAATGTACTAATCCGCTAAGAACTTTACCAGCATTTTTTCTTACTTCAACTCGCTCATCTTCCAATAAGCGTAAAACAATATTTTTTATGAAATTAACCCATGCTGGATTACTTAAAAGTGTACACATGTTATAAAATACCCAAGCTTGAAGGAATTCCAAACAAGCAGATCTTGTCCACCAAGATATATGCTTAGACATTTTTTCTATTGCCTCTAAAGCTATTGACATATTACATGGTAATGTAAATGCTTGTGCATATACCGTTAAAGCAGATGTACATGACTTTCTCAATTCTTCATCTATTTCACAATTTTCCATCTGATATATAATTGGAAATATTTGATATAATTCTGGTGGTAAACCATACCATGCACAATTCATATTTACAATCCATTTACAAATTGTCTTAAGTAATCTAATTGCTCTTTCTCTTTCTTCTTCATTTATTTCTATTTTTTTTAAATCATTTAATTCAACAATAGATATCTGTGAAGATAAATTTTTTTGTTGAATTTCTTTGTTGAATTTCGTTGCATTTTCATCTATAAGAGGTTGTAATTTTGGCACTATTTTATTTATGAAATCTTGTATCTGTGATACTGACTGATTGTTTGAAATATTTGAAGTTTTTAAATTTGTGAACACTGTTACTAAAATAGAACTCAATCGTTCTCTCATATTTTCAAATGGATTTGCTAATAATCTATCTTCTATTCGTTTCAACAAACGTTGTAACAATTCCAACACGCGCCATGGCTGTTTAGCAAGAGCTGTTTGCAAAATAAACAAACGACCCGATTCGATAAAAGATGATTCTGATTCGCTAACACAAATTTCTTCCATCAGACATTCTAATAACCAATGTTGTCTATTTGGATCTCTATGTTGCTGAGCTGTAGAAAAACAAAGAACCCAGTCTGCAAGTGTTTCTGGTGTCATATTAATTAAGACAAGTTTTATAATTGGTAATAAAGAATCCCACATTTCACAAACCATATTAAATGGCCAATGTTTTGAACCCTTAATAATTCCTGCAACAATTTCGGCTGCACATCTTTGACTACTTTCTTGTTTATCTTTCACTAATTCATGTAAATGCGGCAACAATTTTTTTAGAAATATTATCCCATGATTGCGAAAAAGACCTTTGAACAGACGATATTTATAATAACTAAATTTATCTTTGTCTTTTTTTGTTTCAAGACTATAAAATTTTATAAGTTTTTCGATATTTTGTGAATCATTAAAAAAGAAATCAATTTCTTTTTCATAATCTGTTAACTTTCGTACATTTGGATCTAAACATGGTTGTTGAGATGTTGGTGCATACATTTGAATTTTTTTTGGCCATGTATAAAATCCTAAATATGCTTCATGAATAAATCTAGGTTCATCCCATTGTTCTGCACACAAGGGACGAGTTTCGTAATTATATTGAAGCCAAGTATTATCTGATCTTTGCCCTAATATGCATTTCATAGATTGATTTTCTTTTTCTGATGATATTGGAGGATCAATAGTTATCTTGAAATTCAAAAATTTAAGTTTAAGTTATATCAAAGTTGTTTATAAAATAAATTCTTTCAAAATACTTTACCTTTGGATGCTGTCTTTTTTGTTGTTGCAACATGCATATCACTATTCGAAGAGCAATATTTCTTTCATTTAATGAATCATGTATTAATGTTCCTAAAAAGTAACGAATTACTTTTGGTGGATACATTTGTTCTGGATGAACCAAAAGTCGAATAAAATCTATTGCCATTAAACGATGTCGCCAATGTAAATTTTTTTCCAAAAGTGCATTTAACAAATCATTTATCAAAGCATTATAAGATACTAAATTACATTCATTAAATGCCTGAGCAATTTTTAAATTTTCTATTGTTTCATCCTCTGTAGGTTGAGATAAAGTAGTTTGTGAATTAGTTTTCCATAAAGCAGTTGCAATTTCCAAACATGTATTTGGTATTTTAAATGTAATCGCAATTGTTGAAAATTGTTTACTTATGAATCTCGCAATATCTTCTTTCAAACGAATTATAGATAATTTTTCAGATGGTTTAGAAAGCACCATAGTTGTCCATAAATCTCTTAATATATTCCAATCATGTTTAGTAAATGTTTCTTGAGAATCAAGTAAAACATGCAGAGCTCCCTATACAAAATGAAATATTAGAAATTAAAAACTTAACTGTTTATTATTTTTTTATTATCATTCTTACTTCATATGCATCATGATCTGCTTCTGGATCCTCTCTTAATACATCAAGTAATTTTGGAATAATAATTCTACATGAAAATGGTAAATAATGAAAAGCTTGGACAAGAACATTTTGAGCTTGCCATCGCACACCAGCATATCTGCTAGTAGCCAATATAAATAGTTTTAACATTATCTCTTTATGAATTTCAGTTAAATTAAATATCTGTGAATGTGAACGTGTCACATGTTGAACTTCTGCGCGTGCCAATACAAAAGATCCCATTATTCCTTTTTTTCTTACTAACATATCTTTCATCATTCTATGTGAGTTTTCTACATTTTTGTTAACTTTAGAAAAGCAAACAGTGCCTAATAAAAGATAACCCCAAATCTAGAATAAAAATTTGAACATATGTATTTAATATTTTTTAGTAATTTATTTTTTCAAATAATATATTTAAATAAATACCTTTATTAAAACAAATAAACTTTTTGTATCGCCTTCTGTATTCTTAAGAATCACATTTTGTAGTTTACTTACAAGAGTTCCGATATAACATTTAACATTACTACCATCAGGCATTAATATTTCATGTTTCATACCAAGTGTTGGCCTGAAAGGTAGCCATTTTAAAGACGATTTTACTAAATTTAATGGTTTTCCTTCACATATTGGTAAAACAGAATCACAACCTTCAATAATGCTATATACAATATTTAAACTGGTTAACAATTCTTCCCTAAAATCATATTTGTAATCATATAAGAATTTATAAATTTATAAATGTTATAGAAATAATTAATAAATGTTATAGAAATAATTAATAATTATTATAGAAATAATATTTCTATTATATAGAAATAATTAATAATAATTAACCTTGTTAATGTGGTCCAATCATTACAATATTTTTCTAATTTATTTGTTTCGGGAATTAGATATTTTATAAATATTTGATTTATGGCAGCTATTTCTTCTTTACCAGGTATGTACCATTTAACTTTTAAAGTATTAATATCCAAAATTTGACCCCAATATCTTATTCTCTCAGTAGATGTGAAATGATATGGTATTATGTTAGATAATGAATGAAGAATCGCTTTTAATAATATACAACCTAAATTGTTTCCTTCTCTTGATTTTAAAATCACTACACGATCAAGAATTGTCATAAGTGTATCTATATAATGTAATAAATTGTTTCCTGTAGTATGAACAATTGCAGATAAAAGTAACATTGCATGTAAGAGACGATCATCCAAGTGTTCATCTTTAATAATATCATTACTTTCTCCAGTAATATCTAGAATAGTTTGTGAAAGTATCGGTAATAAAGTACGCACAGTCTCTTTGCCATTAACTCGAGCAAATACTCGACATAAACCAGCTGCTAATTGTCCAGCAACTTCAATTTCAAGTATACGTTCAGTTATAAATGTGCATAATTTATCTAAAGCTTTTTTAAATATTTCATCATTAATCTGCATTAAAAGAACCATACACACATTATATAATACATGTTCTGTAACCTTTTCTAATTTACTTTTTTCACCACCAGTAGAATTTTCTAATCTAACCAATTCTAAAGAACTGTGATCTATAAAAGAAAATATCTTATCTAAAAATTGTAAAACAAAATCTTCAAATCCAGAAGCTGTTTCGTAATCCATTCTGCCTTCTTCATCTTCTTCATCTATTGATGTGATTGATTTAGAAGTATTTACAATAGGTATAAGACAGGCATACACTGAAATAAGACGAAAGGCAAGAAAGCATTTTTCTGGATTGCTTGGATCAATACTGGATAAAAGTAAAGACAATAATGGTAAAATGTGTCTTGGTCCTTCTGGATAGGTATAATCTATAACAAAAAAATTCATAATTTAGATATATAATTTAGATATATAATTTAGATAATGAATATATTAATATTTTTATATGTAATAAATAAAGTTTAATTCATACCTTTATTTATATTTCTAGATCCTTCTGCCATTGGCCTAGCTATAGCATCCATACAACTTAATGTAGCAATTAATTTATATGATTCTGTTGTAAGAGAATCTAATGTAGAAGATACTCTATCCAAAACATATGGAATAACCAAATTGGGTCTCATAGTAGCAAGATATTGTAATGCTTGAGAAGCATCATTAACACTTAATTTATTAAACATGGCTACCATTGTTACTGGCATCATACTTTTAACAAATGCATTAACATCATTATCAGTTAATTTATATTCTTCGGGTATAGGAGTTTCCCAAGTCCGTTTAGCATATCTTTCTCTATAAATAAAATATTATATAAATTTGCAAATGTTGCTTAAAATTAATTTGAAACACTAATTAATTCTCACTTATGTAAACGTGTAATAAAATAAGATGAAAGCTTCAGAAGAATATCTTTTAACATTCCCAACCAGCAACCATTATTAGCAGGATGAAAATATGTTTCTATTGTCTTGAGAAATTTATCAAGATATGTTTGAGCACTTGAACCATTTCCCTAGAGATATTATATACAAGTAATATCTTATTTAAAAATATCCTTAAATAAGCAATAAAATCTTACCAGAACTGCTACTATCCATGATGCTATGAAACATGCATCTATTTCATGATGTTTATATCTTTGTATTTTATTATATGATACTGGTAATTTTAAACATCGTATAAATCTAGTAAACATTAATGGAATATAAGGTTCCCAATTAATATATCCAATATTATGATTAGCTAATGCTGCCATTAACTCCATCATTTTACTTTCCCAAGTTAGTGAATTGTGACAAATTTCCCATAATGTCATAAATTCTTCAAACCATAATTTATATCCAATTGAATGATGTTTTGGAGATAATTGTACTGGTAAAAACCACCGTAATAATTGTATACTTTTAGACATTGTTAAAACATCAACAAGACATAAAGTTGGTCTCAATTCATCTAATATTTCCTGTGTTGCACTCAACTATTATGATGAATTAATTTTTATTCTTTTGTTAATTTATGTAAAAAAATAATTCACTTACGGGAAAATAAACCTTTGCACAAATAATAAGTGACTCCATTGCATTTTCATAAAAAGAACAAAAATGATACATATCAAGACGATTTTCTTTCGTTTTCATTATACAGAGAATCATTTTATAAAGAGGCTGCCATGGCAGTTCCAATTCATCAGGAGATATTAATTTTTTTTTTCTATTAATATTAAAATAATGTAAAATCTATTTCTTATAATAAATAATATAAATGATATATATATATATATAATAATTAAATCAACTTACTTTAATAATAAAAGTAATGCAAGAAGACATTTAAATGTGGAAGGTGTAGGTATTTCTGAAAGTGTAACCAGTTCATATAATAACTTTATAAGTAAGATATGATCTTCTTTGCTAAAATGTAATCCATATATGTTTAGGTAACTAGAAAAAAATATTGATAAATCCAAATTACAAATATATTTTTGTTAAATTAGGTAATACAATTTTATCTGTTTATATTAAATTAAAATATAATTATCACTTATTTAAATGAAATAATAAAAGAATATATACTTACTGGCATAATTTATTAACCCAAACAAAACAGCCTGGCCATGTTTCATTAAACATAATAGCTCGTGCTAAATTTGACTTAATTTCGGCTAATAAAGTTTTTGATTCTATTTCTAAATCATCCACATAAGGCAACAATTTATTATATATAAATTTTTTAAAATGAACATCTTCTATACTTTTGTAAATACAAATATGTGCGAGATCCTTGTTCATTATTAATTAAAATATCTTATTATTACAAGCACAAAAAGTAGAGATAGATGTAGTCTTTGAAAGAGCACACGTTACAATGCAAAATCATCTATATTATTGAGTCAGTAACAACTTGCTTATTCTGCTTCGATTTTATCGAGTCATGTTTTACATCTAAGGGGCCATATTTGATGTACATACAAGAAGCGTGAAAGAAAATTACTATAAAGTTAGAAAAATATCGACTTTTCAATCCATTGATTATCATATACTCATTAAATTATCGATATTAAAATATAATTTAAAAAATATATTATAGTTTTCATATAAAATATATAATTAAATAAATAAAAAGTTATATTTATTTTTATAGGAAATATAGTTTCTTAATTTTTATATATTCACAATTTTGTACAATAATATAAAAATTATATAGAGTTTTTTTCAAAATATAGTTTTTCAATCATTAATTATGTATTAATAAATTATTATTGAATTTAAACTTAAAGTAAAATTTAAATATAAAAAAATAAAAAAATCAAATATATTTATTACTTATGATATTCTATTATAATCACAGATACATAAAAAATAATTTCACTAAATCCAAACATATGGCGGCAGTTGCAAGTAAATATATAAACGCAAGTATTGTCACATAAGAATGTAATATTATCTTAATCTCGTGTTGATGTGTTATTTTATGTGAATTTTATGCAATATAAATGAAACAATATTATATTTTTTTTACTTTTTCTTCTTAAATAAAAAAATTAAGTTTTTTAATTGAAAATTAATATGTAATCTTTAAAATAAATATATGAATAAGGTTAAGATAAGTTAATAGCCCATATTAAAAGAACATTTTATTTTCTTTGAAAAATCTAAAGATTTAATTTTCAAATGTTATTGATAATTTAATTTAATTTAGAATAATACTAATTAGATAACACTATATTGTGTAAAAAATGAGGACTAGAAAAACATTAGCAATTCTTAGTGCAGGTTTAATTCTTGCTTGTTGTGGTATGTTATATATAATAATGGATTTAACATTTTTTCCACCTGGACAAGGATCTAAACTGTCTATAAATGATGTAAGTGTAAGTAATATAAATATCTGTAAGTCTATAATAAATTATGATGTTATTATGATTATATTATTATGATTATACTAGTTTATGATGATAAATGAAAAAAATTTATTGTTTTATATATATTTTCAGAATCAATGGCTACACTTTGAAAATAGATTAGCAAAATTAGAAAAAGATTTCAATAAGCATCATGAAGTAATGAATGCTTTGAGAGAAGTGGCTGAAGCAAAACATTTTGTGCCTCTAGCCTATTCTATAAATCTTTCTAATCAATCTGTATCATCTTTATCATCTGTTCCTCATTTAGGAAAAGTACTTAAATGTAATTTTAACATACAGAAAATTCCTGAAGTAGACATTCAAATGTTAGAGATATATAGACAATTAGAATTTGATAATGTGGATGGTGGAGTTTGGAAACAAGGATGGAATATTACATATGATGAAAAGCAATGGCATCCAAATAGAAAACTAAAAGTTTTTGTTGTTCCACATTCTCACAATGATCCTGGATGGCTTAATACCTTTGAAAAATATTATGCATTTCAAACACAAAATATATTAAATAATATGGTAATAAAATTGGCAGAAGATAGAAGACGTAAATTTATTTGGGCAGAAATATCATTTTTCCAACTTTGGTGGGAAGATCAATCTAAAACAATTCGTAATTTAGTTAGACGTTTAATTCATGATGGTCAATTGGAAATTGTATCAGGAGGTTGGGTTATGCCAGATGAATCTGTTTCTCATTGGATATCTCAGCTTACACAACTTACAGAAGGACATCAATGGTTAAAATATAATTTAGATTACACACCAAATTCAGGCTGGGCTATTGATCCATTTGGTCTTTCTCCAACTATGCCATATCTACTAAAAAAAGCAGGATTGGAAAATGTATTGATTCAAAGAGTCCATTATTCAGTTAAAAAAAGATTAGCTAGAAAAAAACAATTAGAGTTTCGCTGGAGACAATTATGGGATAATGATGGATCAACCGAAATTTTTACACATATAATGCCATTTTATAGTTATGATGTACCACATACTTGTGGTCCAGACCCAAAAATATGTTGTCAATTTGATTTCTATAGATTACGTACTTTTGGATTAAGTTGTCCATGGAAAATAGCTCCAAAAACCATAACTAAATCAAACATTGCAGAAAGATCTGCCCTTTTATTAGATCAATATCGTAAAAAAGCTCAACTTTTTAAAACTGATGTAGTATTAGTACCATTAGGAGATGATTTTAGATATACTCATTTTACTGAATGGGATGCTCAGTATAAAAATTATCAAAACCTTTTTGATTATATGAATCAGAATCAACAAATGAATGTTCAGATAAAATTTGGTACATTAAGTGATTACTTTGATGCAATTAGGGAAAAGCATAATTTAAATGAATTTCCTACTTTATCAGGAGATTTTTTTACATATTCTGATAGAGATGATCACTATTGGAGTGGATATTATACATCAAGGTACACTCAGATTAAAATTAATTATAATAGATTGCCAATCAAATGACATATTTATTAAATATATTTTAGACCTTTCCACAAACGATTAGATCGTGTATTATTGAGTTTATTGAGAGCAACAGAAATATTAACAACTATAGGTTGGACTAAAGGTAATGATAATTTAGTAGAAGGTGCTCTTGCACAACGTTTAAGCAAAGCAAGGATGTGGCATTCTTTGTTTCAACATCATGATGGTATTACTGGTACAGCCAGAGATGAAGTAGTTATAGATTATGCCAAGAAGATGATAATGGCCTTAAATAATTCTGCACATGTATTACAACAATCAATGGTTCATTTATTAAAAACACCACAAGAAATAACTGTTAATACAGATGCTGTATATATTTCACTTGATGAATCTAGGTTTAATAAGAATTTATAAACATTTTTGGAGATATAATAAATTTTATATTTATATTAAATATAAAAGATTAATTTTTCATGTTTTAGATTACATCATACAAGTGCTGGAGATAAACATATACTAATTTTAAGAGATGAAAATCCCTTAAAAAAAGTTATTTTATATAATTCTATTCCAAGACAAAGAACAAAAGTACAGACACTAATTGTATCTACACCATATGTTAAAGTTACTGATCGTATGGGTCAACCAGTGCAATGTCAAGTTTCTCCAATTTGGATTGGACCTGCTGCATTAACTGTTGCTAGATATGAACTGTCATTTCTAGTCACTGTACCTGGATTTGGTATTACAACATATATAATTCATGCTTTATCTAAATCATCATTTCCACAGTATGTTAATTTTTAAATTATCAAATATTTATTTTTGCTCAATATTTATTTTTTTATTGTTTATTATGTGCAGAGAAGTACATCCTGCAAATGTGATAGTTTATAATACAGATATTAGTCTTCCAAAGATACCAGGTTTTAATCAAATTCAAATAATACCAAATGCACAAGAATTTTCAATTATGCAACGACCAGAATTATCTGCATCTTTTGGAAAATCAGGTCTTTTGAAAGCTTTAAGAGTCAGTAATATGACAGTTCCTATTCATTTAGAATTTGTTAAATATGGTACTAGAGCTGGTAAAGATAAAAGTGGAGCTTATTTATTTCTACCTGATAAACCAGAACCAGACTTGGTACATGTAGATAATAAATGTATTATACATTTAATAACTGGACCGATTGTATCCAAGGTATTTGTGGAATTTGCACATGTACGTCACACATGTATATTATATAATTCTCCGGGTAGTGATGGACTTGGTTTACATATTCATAATGAAATCAACATATCAGAAACACAAAATTATGAATTTGCTATGAGATTAAATACAGATATAGCTTCAGGAGATCAATTTTATACAGATTTAAATGGCCTTAATGTAAGTATTAATGTTTAAAATATTTTATCTTCATTAATTAATATTTAAGAGGATAATCATTATTTAGATGATTAAACGTCAAAGATTTCCAAAGCTTCCTACACAGGGAAACTACTATCCAATGGCAGCCAGTACGTATATAGAAGATAAAAGAGTTAGATTAACAGTTGTAACAGCACAACCATTAGGTGTAAGTTCTATGGCATCTGGGCAAATTGAAGTATGTATTTACTATTTTGTCATTTATATAAAAAAATAATATGATATATATATATATATATAATATTTTTATTTAGATTATGCAAGATAGAAGATTACTTCAAGATGATAATAGAGGGCTTGGTCAAGGTATAACTGATAATTTATTAACAAATCATTTATTCATGTTTATTCTTGAAAAAAGAAAGCCTTTTTGTACATCTTCTACACCACCAACAAATCATCCATCAGGAGTACTATCATTGTATGGTCATTTAACATCAGAAGAGTTATTATATCCTATAATTGCAATGCATCCACATAATTCTTTAACTTTTAATTTAAATCCATATTTTTCCCCGCTTCGTTACGACTTTCCTGCAGATTTAAGCGTTGTTAGTTTTCGAGTATTTCCTATTCCCGAAGGAGCTGGTAAAGGTATTGGAATGGTTTTACATCAAGCAGCTTTAGATATATGTTGGAATGACAATTCTTATTTACGTCATTTTAATGTTTCTGAATCTGTAGAAGTTGATTTAACAAAGTTCCTTAATTATATAGATGATTGGATCATTAGTAAAGCTCCTTTGACATTCCATAATGTAGGGCCTTCATTAAAGTCACCTATTGTTAACTTATGTCCACATCAAATATTACCAATTTTATTACATAAGACACAATCTTAGACATAGAATTTAATAATATCATGGAGTTACTGAAATGAACTTTGTTTTCTACTCATTGTTCCACTATCAACGGCCTTACTCAAAATAATATAATCCAATTGATCTGATGCTGGTGGACTGGTTTTATCTATCTTATAGCTGTAACAATATTGGTTGAAATTAAGTATGATCATTATTATGATAGAAATTATTATTTTTATTTTATTGATTACGAAATTTAATTTATCTATATAAAAATTATAATTTCTGTTATAAGTATATATAAAGTATATACAAAGCATATATAAAGTATAAAAAATTTTCATACAAAATTTTTCTTACTGTGATTTACTGTTTATGATATTATAATTATTATATTAAATATAAAAAAATATGAAATAGTTCTGCAATTGTTTAATAAGCATTTAATTGAAATTAATGATCTAATAGATATAAATACAATAGATCTAATATATAATGCAAGAATATAGAAATATATACTCTTGTATTTGTTTTTTTACTATTATATTAAAAGATAAAATGTTAGTTTTTGTAAGATATTTTCATGCTAGTCGTATTATTATTTTAGAAAATGTAATTTTGTACATCTCAAATGTATGTATATTAATTATTAAAAAATCTATGATAAAATTAAAAAAGTAGTAATTATTTTTTTTTATGTTATTAATATAATATGTATAATATATACATTTTTTATTATATACTTGTATTTTAATAAAATTACATAATTATAAATTATATTTACCCAAGAGAATAAAAAAAATGCATAGCAGATGGATTATGTTTAAATACAGTTAAAATTACTTTACGCATTTTATTTTCTGATGCCATAGATTCAAGTGCAAACATTATAAAATGGCCAAGTCCTTTCCTTCGTATTGTAGATTCCAATTGTATTTCATAACTTTAAAAAGAAAATAAATTGAGCTTTTGATTTTTTATAATTTTTAGATATATACAAATATAAAAAAATTTACATACCAATATAATACTTCTTCTCTATAATCAACATCAAATCGAAAATGAGAAAATCCAACAAATTTATCATTAGATGATGCAATTAAATACCAAGCTGTTGATTCTGTTAATTCTTTTTGCTTAGCAATTGGATCCCAACCCCAATTACTTTGTTCATATAAAGATTTCATATTACGTTCCATAATATCAAATATCCAAGATATACATTTAGAATTTGCATCTTTGGCTCTCATACAAGAAAGTTCTATAATTTCATTATCTTTTGTTACATATTTATGAAAGAAATGTAGATGTTCTATAGGATTTTTCATAGAGTTTGCTTTGTCAACTAAGTTTTTTGCAATAGCTTCTTTTTCTACCAAAAGTTGACGTCTTGTTTTTCTTTTCTAAGTAAAGTTAATTATTATATATAGTTATAAATTAATTATAACTAGTTTTATTTATTATTTTTACTATTTTACTATTTTTATTTATAATTAAAAATACATTAATTACAGACAAACTATGTATAAATATATATAATATAATAAAATAAAATAAATTATTTTATTAATTTATATTATTAAATAAAATTATTTAATAAAATTAATACCTTCATAATAATTATATTTCCCGCGTATATAAACACTATGATTTTAGGCTATATTTTTTTTTCTATGATTATCATATAAAATTAAAATTAACCAATGCAATTTATAAGATAAAAATATTGAAATTATTCTAGAATTTTAATAAGTATTTTTCAAGAAATATGTTATGTATGTATGTATGTATATATATATATATAATTTTTTTTAAATTTTATATGTATATACAATAAATACTGAATCGTGATTTTTTGATAAGAAAACAAAAACTTTTATTTTTACATATAAAGATAAATATTATATTTATAATACATATGTATAATAATACATATGTATAATAAAATGAAATATAGATTAATCTTTTAGGAGAATTGATATATATTTTGTTATAATACCAATATATATGATTCAATAGTATCAGAAGTCAGTCTTTCATATTAAATCAACTTATTGAAAGAACTAATTGTATAGTATAGAGTATAACGCAGCATTGTATGTATATATAATCATTATATGATCGAGTATTGTGCATGCTCTTATATTAAATCTAAATAAAATTTGAAAAAAAAAATTATAAATTAATGATAAAATATCTTTATATATATATATATATATATATGTATAATCATATATCTCAAGTATTCTATATACATCGTTAATAAGAATTTTGACATCTCAAATTAATTAAAAACAGTTTCAACTGGTTGGCAACAAATGCATATTGTATTTTATTGTTAGTGTTTAAAGAATGTTTACTACAGATTCGTAATTATGTATTTAATTCTTGAATTATCATAGGTTAAGTAATTTAATCATCTATCATATACATAACATTGTTCTCTGTGTGTCATTATTTCAGTAAATCAGTATACATATGTTAGTTAAAGGTAAATTTATCAATACTAATAGTATAATAAAATTTAAGTATTTTAATGATTTATGTTTATATTAATATAATTTTTAATATGAATATATTGTATGTAATATAATATATTATAAATAATTATTATTGTTTTATTCATTTTAGATACTGTAATTAAATATTGAGGAATGGCTGAAAATACTGCTGCATCAAATGCAGAGGAAAAAGCTATTTCCTCAGCTATGACACAATGTTATGAAAATTATATTATTGTTGATGTTGGTGCCAATCTTACTAATAAAAAATATAGCAGAGATTTAGATAGTGTAATTCAAAGAGCAAAGGATGCAGGAGTACAAAAGATTATGGTAACAGGTGCAAGTATTCGTTCTAGTAAAGAGGCATTAAGATTAACCAGGATATATCCTGGTACTCTTTATTCTACTGCTGGTGTGCATCCTCATGATGCAAAATCATGGGAAAATCCTGATACTTTACAAGAACTTGAAAGCATAGCTAATAATCCAGAATGTGTAGCAATAGGAGAATGTGGTTTGGATTATAGTCGTGATTTTTCTGATCCTGAAACACAACGTGCTGTATTTCATAAACAAGTAGAACTTGCATGTCAATTAACTAAGCCACTCGTAATACATGAAAGAGGTGCCCAAACAGATGTTTTGGAAGTTCTAAATCATTATAAAAATTGTTTACCACCAGTTTTAATTCATTCATTTATTGGAACTGCAAAGGAGGCACAAATTTATTTAGATCATGGTTTCTACTTAGGAATTACTGGATATTTATGTAAAGATAAATCTGATAGTGGAATAAGACAATTATTAGAAAAACGACTTGCACCTTTAGACAGAATATTAATAGAAACTGATGCTCCATTTATGTATCCTAATACCAGAGCCAGTAAATTACCTGTTCACGTCAAAGATGCTTTAACCGAACGATCCATGACATTTCTTCATCGTTATTGTACTTTTCAACGTAATGAACCATGTGCCTTACCAGCAATAGTAGAAATGGTAGCAGCATTTATGAAAATTGCTCCAGAAGAAGTTGCCTTAGCTACTGCTTTCAATGCTTTGAAATTATTTGGTCTAAATCAGTGATAATTATTAATTATTTTTCATTCTTAAAAAATGGTGCTACTGGGTGCTATTAATTATTTTGTTATCAATGTATTATCTCTTTTCATGTGTAAAAGCATCACTTATATTTTATCAAAATATGTTTTTTATAATAACAATATCAACTTTTATTAATTTATCAATGAATATAATCATTGAAAGAAAAAAAATCATAAAATTTTATTTGTGCATTAATAAATATCATCTCCAATATATTTACTTATATTTACACTATATTTATATAAAAATACTCATCAATATATTAAAAATAGCATTATGTAAAATATTTTACTTATTATAATATAATAAAGATTTTGTAGAAATATATATGAAATATATAGAATCCTAAATCACACAATTTTATTGTTAATGTTATAAATATTTTCATATAAATAAATTGTTATATAAATAAAAAATTTGTAAATATTTCTTTAAGTTTTTGAAAAATCCAAGTAATAATGTAATGTTTCAAGAATAATATTAATATTTAAAATTTATAAAAAATAATCTACTTAAATATATTTTAAAATATTAATAGATATATTAAAATTATAAAAATATCACAGTATATATAAAAAAAGATTTTTATTTGTAAAAAATTTTTTTTATTTAAGTTTATTACATTAGACATTTATTTAAAAATTTTATTAAAAACAATTTAATTATTTGAAATATTATTATATTTTAATTTAATGGCTTCTTGAAGATACAATATTCTTTTTTTATCAGACAAATTTTTCCACAAATATGGATTTATAACAAAAGGATGAAATCCTTGTAGTGTTTCTATTGCTTTTAATAATATTTTAACTGTAGATAACATATTTCTTTTATTAATAGAATATGCTTCTATTGGAAAAGCAAAAATTAAAATTCTGTAAAAAGATCAGCATTATTTTTATCTATAATATTATATTAATTATCTTGTATTATATGAAATTATTATATTTTAAATAAATATTATTTTTAATAAAAACAAAATTGTTATTTAAAAATTAATATTTCTTACTTAATACATTCTGATAATGATGCTAAATCTTCAACAAATGTAATATTATTATAATTATTAATATTCATAAGTGATCCATCCGGTTGTATGACAATAATATGATCTAAAATAAAATAATAAAAATCGAAATTTAAATTCAAATATTTTACCATTATTAATTCCTAATTATAATAATTCATAAGCTTTTTACCAACAAATTCACCAAATTTAGTTTTTAAACTACTTTTCATGTATTCAGCACCTCCAACAGCTTCTTTTAAACTTTTCATTAAATGAAGTACATTATTATTTTTATGTTCAATTTTAATTTGATTTAATTTATTTTCATCTGGCATAACTCCTTTATATTCAGGATAAAGCAGTTTAATACACCAATATAATTTTAATATAGTTAATATAATATGCTTTTCTTTTATAATAGAATCATTATTATATAAAATAAAAACTTTTTCTATTAATTCTGGATAATAATAATTTAATGAAAGTAAATAATAAGCAATAGATACTATATTATGCATTGAATAATCTGTATGAATAACATAATTTTGTAATATTCTTCTTATAATTTTCCAATTATGTGGTACATAATCCGCAATGACAAAACCTTTGATAAATAAATCTATATGTTGAATAGAATAATTTTCAATATTTGTATCTTTAAAAGATTTTTCTATACAATTCAATACAGAAATATTGCTATAACGCATATTATTTAAATGCTTTAAGATAATTAAATTTTGTTGAAAAGTAATATTATTAATAATTACAGTAGAACACAGTTTATCTATAAGTGCTTCACAATAAAATTCCATTTCTCTAAAATAAGATAGAAAAATAAAAAGTAACATAAAGATTTATAGAACATAATTAATTGTAATCATATAATACTTACGAATTCATAAATTTTTCAGAAATACAATTAAGTAAATAATTAATTTCATTAAAATTTAATCTTCTGCAATAAGTTATTATTATATTTTGTACACAAAGCAGAAGTTGCTTAGAAGATAAACATAATTTTGGTAAAGTATATATTGCATTAAAAATGTCTATTATATAATCTAAGTTTATTTTTTGTTTACTTTCAACTAAAAGAGTAATTATGTGTCTTTTTATTTTTGAATTATTGATTATAAAACAAAATTGAAGTGCTTGCAATAAATTAATACTATTTGAATTAAGTTCAATTTGAGCTCGCTCATTAAAAACATGAGACAATGCTGGAAGTAAAACTTTAATTAAAGGTGTTGCTTCAACTTTATATAACATATTATATAGAATCATTATTTGACCAACTGTCAAATCATTCAAAGAAATACGTATTAATTGAAGTAATGTTTGAATTATTACAGTATCAGATGGAATATTGAGAAATAGTAAATTTCGTAAAATATTTATGGTATCATATATGCTTAAAGATCTGACATTTTTACATATTATTTTGCATATTTGTTCAAATTCTTTAGAAGTTGTTAAATTTGTGTAATATAAGTTTTCTTTATTTTTTTTAATCTTTTTATATAAAATATCTACAGTTTTAATAGCATCTTTTATATTCATATTATTATAATTTTTTTGAATATCTTTAATATTTTCAATATTGTTATTGTTTAATATTTTGTTATTCTCTCTTATTACTTTTTTGGTAATTAAAATATCTAAAATGTATAATATTATTAAATATTAAATAAAAAAATTAGAAATTAAATAATTAGAAAAAAATTAGAAATAATTTATTACCATTGTTTGATACTGTGCTAAAATTTGATGAAATAATTGAATTACGAAATATTATTGAATTTTTTATTAATAATTTAGCAATTTTATTCATTGTATATATTTTATATACTTATTTTAAAATAATATAAAAAAAATATATTCTAAATGATACTTATTAATATATTATACATTGTTTAATATCTCTGAAATAAAGTATTCGTATTAACCTAATCTGATATTTTTAGTATTTCAGTATTGAAAATCAATTATGTATATAATGTATTGTTAAAACTTTTATTTTAATGAAATTATTAAGTATAAAATTATAAAAGTAACAATTAAAATATATAATGATTTTTTATATATATATGAAATGAAATTTCATAATCATAAATATAAGTTTTCGTATCAATATGGATGTTGATAAAAGAGCGAAATATATATTTTGTATATTGTTTATTTTTTAAGTTTATTTTTTAATTTTAGTGTCAATATGGATAAAAGAGCGAAATATATATTTTGTGTATTGCTTATTTTTTAAAGTAAATAAATTTTAGAAAAATGTCAAAAGAAATACAAGTATTAGAAATAAATAAGTATATTTTATCAAAATTGTGGTATACGTCTCTTATTATTTGTCGAGAAAATAATAATAAAATCTTTATTTCAAAATGTAATAATGATAGTGTAGATTTTGTTGAATCAGAAGCTCTAATTACAAATTTAATGTAAGTATAAATAAAATTTTATATTTCAAATATAATTTTATATTTTATATTTCATAATTTTTAAATATATTTTATTATATATTTTTTTTAGTCATTCTCAAAATGAAAATGAATATCAATGGATAATTTATATATTATTGAATAAATTTATTAATAATACAACTTTAAATATTGAAGATATAAAAAAACAAAAATGTTATATTCAAATGATATATGCTTTGCAATTATACAAAAATTTGACAATAAATTTACAACAGGTATTAAAAATGGATTTTTAAATAAATGTTATGTTGTTATATTTTATACATATATATATCATTTATTATTTATTTATTTTATTTTATATATTTCATAGGAATTATTAACAGTATACAAAAATAGTTTGCAACAGAGAAATCCAGAAATTTTTGGGAAAATACAAGATGAATATTTTATATTTTTGAAACAAAATATTTATGATAATCCTTTTGTTACATGTTGGATTCTTAATGAATTTTTATTAACTTATTCTTTATATAATAAATCAACTGATATTGTTTGTAGTTTACAGAATTTTTATTTTTCATTGATAAAAGATTTATTGGAGTTTAAATTATCTAAACAATCAATCAATAATAATTATTTTGGATCTATATTATGTATTATATCAAAAATGAATATTGTTGAATTTGATGAATCTATATTATTTGAATGGCTTTTTCCTATGATATTGAAAGCAAAAAATAATGAAGATATTGAATATGCTCTATATTCAAGAACAGATCAATATTTTTTTAAAAAATGGTGTATCTTTCTGCATGAAATTTATATAGATTCCAAATTTAATAACAATTTAAATCATGCATTGAAAATTCAAAAAATATTGTTTAATTTCACATCTACTTCTGCTCCCACTATAAATAAAAATAAACTAATAGAAAGAATAAGTAATATCAAATTACATTGGGTTACAGATATTTTGGTAAGTAATTATATAAATTTTAAATCAAATATAAATTTTAAATCAATATTGTGATATATATAAAAAATATATATATGTGATAAATATATTTTTTTTAGAATATATGTTATATTTTAATAATAAATAAAAAATATGATGATGTTTCACTTATATTATCTTGTACATTATTAAAAGATTTTTGGCCAGTTTTATTATTTAAAGTTTTGAATAAATATTTACAAGAAGAAGTATTTTCAAATAATATTCAAAAAGATGATTTCATATATGATTCAATTGAATTTTTAATATCTAGATGTAATTTTGATATGTTATGTAATCCCATATTGAATGAAGTCCAAAAAATATTGCGCAAAAATATAAGAATTTTAAAATACATTTTAAATTGCATGAAAGAAAATGTTAAAGCAGAAAACTTAAATCATAATCAAGAAATAATAAAGCCAATGGATTTTCAAGATAAAATATCTATAAAATGGATATTCGATCTTTTACAACAATTTGACACTCTTTTAGTATTAAAAATGACAACTAATATATGGGAACAAAATCATGCAAAAATAAAAAATTTGTTAGAAGATATTTGTGAATCTGAAAATATCTTCAATGCATATTATATTATATTAAATGCTTTAAAAGCTATTTTATTGTATAATAATTATGATATAAATAAATCTATCATAACAAGTTATTTATCTGATATGAGTTACTATATAAAAATGTTATATCCACTTAATCTACGTATACAAGTGATAGAGGATATATTCTGTTTATTTTTTTTACAATATGAAGATTTTGATCATACTTCAAAAAGTTATGATAAAATATATATGAATAATTCTCATGAAGAATCAAAATTTGAAAATAAGTCGATAAAACAACAAGGTTTTATTTGTAACAGATATGCTATAAAAGATATGCTATTTCATTTAATAGATATTATATCAACAACAGAAATTGAATGTATAGAAATGAAGAATAAAAATGAATGTATAGAAGAAATAGAACAAATTCAAAAAAATATTGTTTTTATTAATAGTGCAATAGCAGATGCCAAGTGGAGATTTGAACTTTATACAACTTCAGAGTTCATTAAAAATATTAATATGAAAGATGGAAATACAAATTACCAATTTAAATCTAAAAATAAAGTTTTAATAAATGAAAATTTAATTTCTAATCGTTCCAAAGAAAACATATATTTTTATCAAGGAGATAATATTTCGGATGAAACAAGAACAAAATCTACTAATAGTTCTGAATCAGAATCAATACATAATAGCAAATGGCAAATATGTTCTAAAAATATAACATTAACAGATGCTATAAATGAAGATATCATTCATAAACCATTATTTATAAATTTTATGTTGGCAACTAAAGAAAGCTTAATTATTCGATGTTTATGGAAAAATGATTATATAAAAGCAGAAAATATTATAGAGGTAAATCTAAATATACACTCATATATTTCTTATTGCAGCTTCTAACTTTTCATACATATCTTCTTCAAATTCAGTAGGTTCATATGTAATAAGTTCTTCTTTTTTTGGGTCTTTTTTATACACACCAGGTGGGTTATTTACATAAAATTGTTTTGCAAATAATATTCTTTTTTTTGGAAAACAAAATTTAAAAGGGAGACAACAACAACACCAACCTATAGAATAATACATAATTATGTAATAAATTTAATATATATGAAATTTTTAAAAATATAATTTATAAACACCTTTCTGACACCATAAAGGAATTGCAAGACATATATATATCAGAAACCAAATTTTAATAATTAACCATATTTTTTGTAATGTTTTTTTAATAATAGGTTTATCTTTTTGCTGTTCATAATTGTACATTAAACAATCCATTAATGTAATATTAAATTTTTTACTTTCTTCTGTGCAATTTTTAAAATCAACTAATTTTTGTAATGCTTTCATTGTGTGTTCTTCTAGTTTTTCTTCTTCAGTAATATTTAGAGTTTCATTAAATTTTTTTATTTGTTCTTCATATTCTTTTTTGAATTGATCATAATCATAGGCTTCTTCGCCTGGCTCTGTACTATCAGCATCCTTATCTTCTTCAAACATGTTATTTAGAGAAATTGACCTCCTCTTGTTTTCATCAATATTAATTGTTTTCCAAAAGGAAGAATTATTTTGTTCATTGTCATATTTTTTTTTAAATAATTTTTTATATAAATTTTGAACTTTTATCTTTTATTATCTAGAAATAGATAGACAAAGCTACATTTTTATTATTATATAAAATCTATCAACTATAATAGTAAATAAACACTTTATTAAGATCTTCCTTAAAACCAGCAATAAATGGTGTGTCATCATTTTCTATATTAGAGTTTTCCCATATATTTGATTTTAAATGGAAAAATATATTTGGATGTTGTAATTTATTCATAACTTCATTGTGTTTATTATAATTTTCTACATATGAATGTAATGGTTTATATCTACTTTCATCTTCTGTATAGAGATTAAAATTCATTAAATCTGCAGGTTGTATCATTTCATTTTCACTTTGTTCATCATAATCTTTATTATCAGATGCAATTTCAAACAATTTTTTATGTTGTAAATTATTCTGTATAAAAGAAGATTAATAGAAAAATTAAAATATTATATAAAATAAAATATAAAATATATATTTATATTAAATATAAAATATAAATATAAATATAAATAAAAAATTAAATATAATAATAATTAATAAAATATATATACTCAACTTTATGTAATGGTAATTTATAGGATAAAGTAGAAGCATTCAATAACAACCATATATAAAATATTTTTTGAAATAATATATTGATTAATGTTTGCATTAATATATTGTTATTTTCAAGACAAATAATATGAAAAATACTTATCTAAATGGAGAAGTGCAGTTTTCAAAAGCATTACACACATTTAGGGAAAACATATACAAACAGACAAAGGTATTGAAAAATAAAAATATGTCTCCAAAAAACTTACAATCTTCCACATTAGAGGTACGTTATAAAAATTAATCAACATTGCTTATAAGAATAATATTTAATCTTATAATCATATTTTTATAGAATATAAGACTAGTTACACAAGAAAGTATAAAATCTTCTAGACAAACTAGTCATGTTGAGACATTTTTGGTCTCTCAAAAAAATAATTTACAAATGTCATGTATGGAAATTCTTAATAACAATGAAATATTAACAATATGTGCATTAGATTTGGCTTTAACTATGAGTCATATTTATCCAATTTCAAAAAATCTTTATGAAATTGCAATGAAATATTTAAAATTATGTAAAACATTTGACAATACTGAATATGTATATTTCTTTCATAAAGTTTTTCAATTGTTATATGAAAAAAAAAACCAAATTTCTGAAAAAGATATACTCTGTGATGCAAAAATTGCATTATGTATAAAAGAATATAAAAAAAACAAAGACTTTTGGACTGATATTATGATTAATCATCAGGAATTTAAAGAATCACAAGCAAATAAAAATACAATTAATAGAATATTAAAAGATGGTAATTATTTACCTGGTTTAAAAATACTTAGTAAAATAGTAACATTTTTCTTTGGATCTAAGAAATATATACAAAATATATGCTCTCATTTACAACTTTTACATTCAATTATTCCAATTGAACATACAATATTTACTGTTTCTGATTTATTAAAAATTCCTTTACATTATTATTTTGGTTATCAAATATTTGAACTTAAAATTGAACCGCAAAAACTTGAAACAATTGCACATGATTTACAAATTAATTTAGGATATAGTATTCTTACAAATGCTTGTCCTAGACTTTCTTTTGAAGAAGATACAAATTATATTATTACTAATAAAAAAAATGGATGTATTATATTAAATGAAGTTTTATATAAATCAGTATGTATAAAAAATTTTCAAATAATTCTATATTAAATTTAAAAAATTAACTTATAAATTACTTATAAAATAATATATAATATTTTAATTTATAGGATTTAAACTATAAGTTTCAAGGACCAAATCAATGTGTTTCACAAATATTAATTGAGCTCTTGCAAGTTTTACATAATTTTAATTTGAATCAATTCTATTTAAGTCAAGATATTTGCAAAACTATTTCAAAAAATTCTGATATTCAAACTATATTAAATAAAACATCTCATCTTGCAAGTTTAGATTTGAGTGAATTATCTATGGGTGATGAAACATTAACATTTTTTTTAAATACATGGAATTTGATGTTTCTGCATGCTATTTTAACTGTGTGGGCAAACCATCCTCCTTTTAATAATTTACAACATACAGTATCATTAATGTCAATTGGTTATTTAATTGGCGATCTGGGTTTAGTAACACTTGCTGCACTTAGATCAAAATTGCTAAATAATATAATATTGAATGATGAATTCTTTATGCAAGTAGAAGAACTTAATGAATCAGCATGGCAAGATTTGGATATCACCCATGATTCAAGAGTTATTTTTGTAATGGCTAATGAATTTTTTGGAACTCCATGTATTAGGGTAAATTATTTTTTTTTTTTTTTTATGAATTATCTATTAATATTATTTTATGTATATATGTAAAATTTTTTATTGATATTTATATTTATATTTTAGATCTGTAAAACAGAATCATTGAATGAAGATTTAAGTAATGCTTTTCATGAATATTTAAATCATTATTCATGTTATAAATCCACTCAAAATATAGAAAAGCAAAAAATAATATTATTACCAGAAATTGTAGAACGATATCAAACTTCCATTTCTCAAAATACAAAAAATGATTTACAAAGTAACAATAGTAATAGTGAAAATTTATTTTCAATAAATAATTATTTTAAATCCTCTGATGAAAACATAATTATACAATACATACCATTTTCCTATTCATATAATATAATATTAAAATATTCAACTTATATTAATCCACATCATAAACAAATTAATCAATACAAAAGTACTTGGGGAAATCATAGTATACGATCAAGTTTATTACAATATTTGGAAAAACAATGTTGGATTGTTTCTTATCTTTTGCAAAGAATAAATAATGAAAATCCTACTATATTGGAAAATAGCTGTGATAATTTAAAACGCACTGCGTGTCTTGAAAATCTCATAACCGCATTTTGGATTAAGGAATTAAAATTAATATTTGAGAATAATCAAACTCTTACAGCAATTTATGAAAAGATATCAGCACAAAAATTATGGTTTCATCTTGAACAAATGTTAAAAGAGAATAAATGGAATGCCTGTTTAAAATTTATAAATGCTTTGCCAACTTATATTGCTTTAAATAGTGAATTGCAATATTTTAGAGATAAAATTCTTAGTTATATTATTTCGGAAAAAAATGCTATACCAAATGCAAAAATATTGCAATATTTATACCAAATCAAAGATGTGTATATATTAAGTCAAACAGTTTTATATAATGTTAATAAATGGCATATAAATATTTGTGAAAATGCATTGCTTCATATAATAAATCATATAGATAATTACAAATTACCTGTACATTGTAAATTTCAATTAAATGAACTCTTGCATAGAGTGTTAATTTTTCATAAAATGCTTCCATATTGTATAATTAAACCCAATGAAACTTGGTATAACATTGCTTATTGTACAGAAAAAATTGATACATTACAAATAATCAAATCACTAATCAATGCAGATAAATATGAATTATGTTTAGAATGGATGGAATGTCAAGCATTTTCATTAGAAATACATCCTTCTGTGACTCAAGAATTCTTAATTGGTCTTTTAAAAAGCGAATCTCAAAATTTTAAACAAACTTTAAAGGTATTTTAGAAATTCTAAAAAATTAATGTTATAAATAATAATTTTTAATTTTTAATAAAATATATTTTTTCATTCAGTTTTTTCAGGCATTACCTTTGGATCAATCTATTAAACTTTGCAAAAATGTATTAAAAAAATTAGAATCTATTGACTCATTGAAATTTATATGTAATTATTTACTAAAATATTGTAAAGCAATAGAAACCATAAAATATAGAAGAACTTTACTAGGAATTGATATTTTAAGTATGCTAAATGTTCAAGAGAGACCATTGTACATTCATCTCATAAAAGAACCATTATTAATATTAGAACAGTTGTTAATGAATTGTAAATTTGAAAGTATTCAAAAAATATTACATAAAATTCAAGACAAATTAAATGAAGCAGAAATTTCAAGAAGTAGCTTTGACAAAATTATAAGATTTTATGCTCAAAAATCATTGGATTGTCGTGTATCTTTACAGTATGATTCTGTAGAAAACAAATCGAAAAATATGCAATATTTTGCTTCAGAGACAGAAAATGCTGAGTTTATTATGCCTATAGTAGTTCCTACTAAAGAAGAATGGATACCTAATGATAAAGTATGTAAAAGATATGTATTTTATCCTTCAATATTATTGTTTTTAATTTATAATATTTAAAACTGTTTTAATTATTTTCTATGTAATAGGCCAGAAAATGTAGCTGTTGTAAAAATGTTATATTTTCAATGTTTAATAGACGACATCATTGTCGTAGATGTGGTCGTGTTATTTGCGCAATATGTTCTCAACATCGCATGCAAGTATCTGGTTATCCACCTTCTGTACTTGTACGCGTATGCAATGATTGTAAACGGCAAACTATATTACAAATGCACTCTTTTCAAGGAACACAATCAACTCCAAGTAGTGAAATATTTGATTATTGGCGATTAACAAGAGATCAAAAACATAATGAAACTATTAGAGAAGAATTTTCATTTGAATATGCTCCAAATGTTTCTTTATGTTTAGCTATTCTTAACTTACATTCTGAACATAAAACATATACGAGGTAATAATAAATTTTATAAATATCATTTTATTTATTTAATGAGATTTTCATGTAAAGATATTTAGTAAAAATATGTATTGTTACAGTTTTTTATTAGATTGTTGCGATGAAATGAAACGTCTTCTAGAACCTGTTAGTAGTGGAAAAGTGAATCCTGAAGTTGATCACATTGTAATTATTAAAATGATACATTCTCTATTAGTAGCTGCAAAAGTTAAATGTGCTAAGCTTGGTCTTAATACTGGATTAACTCACTGCGATCGTTTTCTATCTCAAGTAGATCTTATTGCAAGTCTCATTCAATTTGATTGTTTACATTTGATTCCTTCTGATAATTTACATGATCGGACATTAATAAAATTAAGAGATCTTTTAATTGAAAAAGAACAATGGACTCTTGCTTTAGATGTAAGCACTAAAGCAGGTACATACAGATTAGATACACAAGGAGTTTGGGCAACATGGGGTAAAGCCTGTTTAAAAATGGGATATTTCCATCAAGCACGAGATAAATTTTTCCATTGTCTTGATAAAATTCAATATGATAATTTTGATGACTGGATAATTTTGTCTTATCCAAAAGAATCAAAAATATCAAATAAAAATGAAACTCAAAATCTAAAAAAAAATGAAGAAATTAAAATGGTTGAATCAAGTTCAAAGAAAACAGAATTTTCAAAAAATCGTCCATTAAAAGATCCACCATTACTTGTAGAAATTTTACAAATATTAGATAATTTAAGTATTTATAAATATGTACAATATCCTCATCAATATAAGTTCAATCCTTCTCAAGAAATATTAAATAGTTTTGGCAATTTTAAAATTGTCAATCAAAAACAATCCAATAATAAAAATACATCTATAATGATACAAAATATTTACTATCATGAAAGCATTTATTATTTATTAACTTATGGAAGTTATAATTCAATTTTAGAATTTTTTTTGAAGCATGAGGAATTCGAAAAATGTCTTACTTTTACTTTGGAAAATAATTTAGAACCAGATTTATTTTTCAATGTAATTTATTTATATTGTTTAAGAAATGGAAGTATTGAAAAGCTTCATGAAGCAATGATGAAAAAAGATTCGAATTTACTAATTTGGAAAAAATATTTAATATATGTTTGTCATAGTTTAGAAAAAAGACAATATTTAAATATTTTATATCATTTGCAACTTTTCATGAAAGATTTTATACGCGCTGCTATGACGTGTATTCGTTTTTATCTTCATGAAGTAATTAATTACTCGGATTTAAATGCTAAAGTAAATTTTTTGTTTGATGCTCAAAAACATTTAGAATCTGAGTTGCAAATTGAAACTTTAAATAGAAAAAGAAAAAAAAGTACGAGTTCAATACATAGTAATCAAGGAATTCTAACAATGGAAATGGAACCATTAGAAATAGATAAACATATAAATACAATTTGTAGACAAATGGAAATTACAAAATTTTTAGCAAATTGTGAAAAAGAAGAAAGAGCTCCTATTCAATATTTGAATTTATTTCCAAAAAAAGATTATAATAATTCAACTATTTCAGAAATACCAACTTTATTTGGTAATCAACAGCAAAAAATTAATTTAGCTGTTTTAGCCATTCTTTGCGGGCGAAATATCGAAGAAGGATTCGGTATAGCATTTAGAATAATGCAAGGTCTGTCAATTTAAATATGCTCTAAAAACTTGATAATTTTATTTATTTGTTTATTTAAATAATATTATTATTGCAGATTATAATTTACCACAACAAAAAGTGTATTCTCTAACTGGATATATTTTAGTAATGAAAAATAATATTTCTGCAATAGAACAATTAATTAAATGTTGTCATACATCTGGGATTCCAAATTCATATATTATATCAGATTATGTATTAACACATTGTATAAAATTGTTACTAACTCATGATGAAACTGAAACAGTTCTTAAAAATAATATTCATAATCTTATTAGATTAATAACTGATATAGAACTTAAAGTAAGATAAAAAAAATAATACAATATAAAAATTTAATACATTTTTAAAAATTTTTCTGTTTTCAGATAAATGCATATATTGAATGTAAACAATTAAAAGCAGCATATTTATTAGCTGTCAAGCATTCAAGAGTACAAGATATAAGAAAAATTTTGAAAGAATCTGATAGACTTGGTCAAAATGCTATTAAAACAATATGTATAAAATGGCTTCAGCAAGAACCAAAATTATAACTTTATTTTATCAAAATAAAATATTTATATGTATCTATTCTATTAAATATTAAAAAAAATTAATTTTATATAAATATTTCTAAATAATTATAGATTACTTGTAGATGTTAAAATAAAAATAAAATTGAAATTCTTAACATTGCATAAATTTTTTTAAAATAATATACGAAAATATTTATTATATATATCATTTTTTGTTTTATAATTTAAATATAAGATATATATTTAATTTAATTTTATTGTTAATAATCATATATGAAATGGATATAATATGATCATAAAAAAAGAGAATAATGAAGTTAAAAAAATTTATTTTAATTAAATACATATATGATAATAAATAATATTTGTTTGATATCTATTTTTATAAGCATATAATATTATATACATTCAAAATAAAATCTTTTTTAATAATTTGTAATTGTACTTATATAATATGATAATAAAAAATGTTTTGTTTATGAATAAATAGAAAAAATCTATATAAAAAGCAGATCTCAGAAATAATAATGGAATGTATATATGAATTTTATAAATTCTATTCTATCAAAACTATTACAAATCATTTAAAATATTTCAATTATTTTGCATAACATATTACATTTTGTTAAAATTTACATAAGATATGAATATCAAATCTACTTATTAATTACACATTTTTTTTATTGAACATTTTCTTATTCCTAAAAATAGAAGTTTATAGAAGTTTTTAAAAATTAATTCCACAATAATAAAGAATATTATATATTTTTGGATATTTGTTTATGATTTTTCTTCTTCACATACCAATGTTGATAATTTTTCATCGTATTTTTCTGCAAATACAGCATCAGTATTTTTTATTGATAAAAGTAAATAATCTTTTTCTTGTTGAGACCAATTATGACTCCATTCTCGAAATAATTTTACACGACATTGAAATAGACTTGGTGGTCTATCAGACTCATTTGTATGTCCTAAACTTTCCATTTTAGATACTAATCCATTAACAAGACCTGAAGGTCCACATTGTTCCAAAAGTATATCCAAAAAATCATTTCTTTGCATTTCAGACCATTCTTGAAACCATTCTATTACATAGCGCAGTTGAGCTTCATTTGAGAGCATGGTAGACATGTTCTATCTTTAATAAAATTATATGATATTAATTAAATTGTAATATATGTAAATAAAATATAACTAAGAATATGCTGATATTATATACTATGACAGAGTTAATATAGAAAAAATGAAAAAGTTATAAAATTATAATTATTATATGTTTGTAATAAATTTATGTAACAAAATTATATTTACTTTTTGTTATTAACGATACTTTCTTCACTTATTTTCGATTTATTGTTTCTAACCATCACAAATTCTTATTTATAAATACACAAATACATAATAATACTAAAATATAGAACTTTTAATGTTAAAATGTAATATTTAAATACTATACAAATTTTGTAATTATGAAATATTTGTATTAATTTTTAATCCGTTAGTTTAGATTTCTTAGGGTTAACTTGAATCTCGTCTTCAAAATCCGAATCGCTTTCCGACACTAGCTGATCTAAAATTGACAAGAATCTGTTAATTCTTATAAATTTCCAACCAAGTAGTTTTTATATATATATATATATATTTTTTATACATATTTTTTTTTATTTACTTTCTGTATTATCAGAACTATCTTGATTTTTAATAAGACTAGTTAAAAAATCGTTGATTTCAATTTGTGTATTTTTCAAACAAGAAATTAAGCTATTCAAATTATTTGCATTTAACACTACATTATTATTATTTTCATAAATACATTTATTTGTTTTATAAATTTTTACTTGTATACTTGTATCGCTCATTTTGATGCAATATTTGCTATATTCTTCATTCACGTAACGAAAAATTTTCATAAACGCCAAACTTGAATAAGGAAAACTACACAGTTTCTACAAATCAAAGACATTTTAAATTTCATTATTATGTTTTTTTTTACTATATAAATTTCTAAAAAATTTACATTAATAAATAATAATAAATTAATTAAACTATATATAATAGAATTTCTAAAACCATCAATAAGAATATATAATATATTATAAATATTTAATCAATGTATATACAAAATTGAAAATATTTCGTCGTCAACATGTAAATTCTCCATAATATTAAGTTCTTTATAGTATCATTGTCGTTGTCATTTGGAGGAACTAAATGATCGAATATTAACATAATAAAGTGTTACACTATTTATATTTAACAAATTTTAAAAACATATGTTGAAGTTAAAATGGTTTTGCTGGAAAATGATGCGGTAATTGTTCATTCATAAAAAATTAATATTTCGAGACTTATATGTTACATTTTATTTCAGTTTTTAGTGGAGTTGACACGACTTTTCGACAAATCTAGACTTTCTGGTTCTGTAGTACTTACTATTAAAAGGTGTAAGTATTTATATTAATTTTATAAATATAATTAGAATGTAAAATTTATTCGTAAATTTTACCTTCAGTTAATGGACATAATAAACCAGTGCCTAGAGAAGGTAGACCTCCCTTACCAACACCAAATGAATTTCTTTGCTTAGTAAGAGCTACATTAAGGTCAAAAAAGATTTCCACTGTTGTATGTATAATTTAATATTTTTTTATTATTTTAATTATTATTAATTAAAATAATAAAAAAAATTAATATATAAATAATTAATTTTATATTTCAGATACATTCTAAGGATGTAAATAAATTTCAGCAAGCATATTGGAACTTATTAAAGTCAAATATCAATGGTCTTAAAAAATTGAAAAAAGTAAAATCTGTAAAACCTAAAGTTCATTGATATTTTGATACTCACTATTTAACATTTATGTATTATATGTGTTATTATTAAAACTTTTGATTAACATGATACATTTTAACATTAACATTAATGTATAATGCAATACTGCCTAAGAAATAAATTACATTTTACAATATAAAACAATAAAATAAATTGTTAAATTTTTATAAATAAATATATGTAAAATATAATTACAATCAATCTGATTTTTTAATATATTTTTCAATAGATACGATTTGTTGTATACCATAAAAGAAATAAATATATCTATTCACCAATCATCGATCGACAATGAATAAATATCGTGACACTAAGTTTAAAAAATTATATTAAACATATTATCAAATACATTATTTATAAAATTTTATGTATATATTTTTTTAATCTCTAATAATTTTTTATTTTAATAATACTAATTAATTAAAATCATCATTTATTTCACAATTATTCGTGTTTAAATATTATACAACAAATATTATTCTTTTTAATTCAATTAATTCATTTTTAAATAATATTAAAAATTGAAAATTGCAATATTTAAAAGTATGATTTATATATTAAATTATTTTTAACCTAAATTTAAAAAATATTTATAGAAAACAAAATAAAAATATGGAAGCACATATATATATATATATATATATATACATATATATGCCCCTTGACATAGGCCATTTTGATGTGCATTTAAGTTTGCAGGGATTATTCTTCCAGGGGCAGTGCAGGTGATTGAGAAGCTTAAAAATTAATAATAATCAAACAATTGTCAACAATTTTTATTAAAATTTTTGTTCCATTTTAATAACTTTTAATTAAAATTATCAATAAGTTGCAAATATACTTGCTAGAGTGTAGAATATTATAATTTATATGTATAATTCTTAAACACACGGACTATAAAAGTACATATTTATATTTAATTTTTAAACAACATAAACGATTCTTTCGTTGCTTAAATTATTAAAATCAAAAATTATGGAGGAAATAATGGGTATTTGTATCTCTTTATAATAAAAATAGTATATTTTATATTAATTATTACGTAGCATATGACATGCGTCATTTTTGTTATAGAAATCGTGAAAGTTGAAAATGCAATATTAATGAGAGATGCAACTCAATTAGAAAAATTATTTGGTAATCACAATGTACAAGTATGATATACAAATACTTTTAAAAATAGCTATGGTATTAATGTTTAATTTTTAAAGTTTCAGATATACAAGAAACTATTATAATGTCTACGGAACAAAAAGAATCCACTGACATGAAAGGTATGCTATAGTAAATATTATAATTGTTTTGTAAATGTTTATATTTATATTTTTTTTTTATTTTGTAAGTTCATTGTTTTATTTTATTTTTTTTATTTATTATAGTTCTTTTTTATTATACTTTACAGTTATTACTCATGATGGTCAAATTATACAAATTATAACAGATTATGAATGTGTTACGTGTCATCATGTTTTTCATTCGGAAGATGTAAGAGTTTGATTTTATTTAACATTGTATTATTATTTACTAAATATAATATATATATTTTTACAAAATTATTTATTTTTAATAGATGCTAAAAGAACATTTAAATGTATGCAATGAAGATACTAATATTTTGCAATTAAATACTCTTGAAAATTATGACTCAGAAGATGAAAAAAAATATGATAATGTAAACTATGTTGATAATTCTAATGTAAAAGGTATTTTGCATAAGATTTATTATATAATATTTTATTGAATTATTTTAAAAAATATATTTTAAATTTTAGATTCTAGTTCTAATAATCAAGAAAGTAACAATTATAAGCCAGTAATTATGCCAGTACGTGATACACAATGCCATTGCTGTGCTGAAGATTTGAGCACTGCACACAGTGGTGGTGAATTTATCTGTCAGCATTGTGATCTTTCATTTAAAGAAAAGTCATCTTTAGAAAGACACAATGTAGTAATCCATTGGCAGTGTGAGTCATGTACTTGTAAAGACTGTGGACAATCATTTTGTGACAGAAAATCATTGAATAGACATCGTTATACCAATCACGCAGATCGAAAAATTTTCAGGTAAATTGGAATTACATATTAGTATTAATATTATTAATATAATTAGTATTATTGTATTGAAATCAAGGAATTAAAAGAATATAATATAACTTAAAATTTTTAAAATTATAGATGTGAACCTTGTGATACTTATTTTTCACGAAGCTATCATTTAAATCGCCATATAATGCAATCAGGATGCCATGGAAATATTCGTAATACATTCTGCTGTCAAGTAAATTTTAATATATAATATTTATAATTTTTATATACTCAAAATTTAGTTAATTTATTAATTACTTTGTATTTTAATAGATTTGTAAAAAGATATTTACACGTAAGGATAATTTACGTGAACATTTACGAATTCATGCTGGAACTCCTCAGAGACAAAAAAAACCTTGTAAATATTGTTCTAAGGAATTCTTTACTAATCAACAATTATTAATTCATGAACGTGTACATACAGGAGAACGACCAGTTCAATGCGATTTATGTCCAAAGACTTTCTTATCTTCTCTTGCATTAAAGAAACATAGACGTATACATACAGGAGAAAAACCATTTGAATGTAAATATGTAAGTATTATTTATGTGATGAAATGAAATCTAATTTTAATAAATTATATCTTTTGGCATTATATTTTAATTATAAGTTCCAATATTTTATAATATTAATTTTCTTATATAATTTTTGTAATTACAAGCAAACTTCGTATACTTCGGGAAATTAATGTAAGTTTTTAATGCAGGATATATATGATACACAACAAAAAAATTTAATTAAATTATAAACATTATTAATTCAATTTAATAATATAAAAGTAATAATTAATTAATTTATTAATTATTATAGTGTCAAAAAAAATTTACTGCCCGAGAAACTTTAAATCGTCATCAAAGAACTCATACTGGCGAGAAACCTCATGTTTGTCAATATTGTGCTAAATCATTTATTCAGGCCGCTCAATTGAGAGCACATGTATTTCATCATACTGGTGAAAATGGTTTCTATTGCGATGTATGTGGAAAAGCATTTAATAGAAAAGCTCGTTTAAATGTTCACAAGAAATTCGTTCATGAAGGAGCAACTCCATTCACATGTCAAGTATGTGAAAAAAGATTTATTAGGAGAGAAGATCTTGTTAAACATGCAATACTTCATACAGGAATTAAAGGTAAAAAAATTATTGAATAATATTATAAAATATAAAATACAATTAAAAAATATCCTTTTCATTATAGCATTTAAATGTGATAAATGTACAAAAGCTTTTTCTACGAAATCTTCTTTGCAAGCTCATCTAAATACTCATAGGCGAGAACCACCACAATCTTGTGTTGAATGTAATAGAGTTTTCATACGACAAGATTGTTTAATGAGGCATATTAAAGCAAAACATCGTGACTTGCTAGAAGATGTAATGAATGAAGTTGAAAGAAAACATTTACAAATACAATTATATAATATTGCTACTGTTGCTGTACAAAAAACAAAGAATGGAAATTCTACAAGACTTTCTCCTGACAAATTGGTGGAAGCTGTTACAGATCTTTTAAAAATATTAATTGATGAAGATACACTTCAGGTATAAATTGCAATAATAATAATTTAATATTATAATAATTATATATTATATTAAATAATATTTAACATATATATATATATATATATATATATATATATACACGTGTATTGTACAGCTCTTTGGATGGCCTGAAGCTCCAGTTCAAGATATTCTAGAAGCTGTAATTAGAAGATGTGGACACCAACCATTAACATCAGAAAGTAATTTACTTTTTAATGAAAGATTAAGAGAAAATATAAAACGTTTATTTATGGTTGTCATAGAAGATAATACGGTAAAATGTCTTTTAACAACAAGTACAATAGATGATGTTATTATACATGTATTACAACTTTCAAAGGAAAGTACTGCAAATTCATAGTTGTGAAAAAGACAAAAAAATAAAAATTAATTAATTTCTTATTTGCACATAAAGTATTCATTTTTTAATTAATATTAAAAAATTTCAAACAAATTTTGTTTTGAAATTATAAAATAATTTGTCATCTTTTTTTAATAATATACATTTGCTTTTTTATACTTACAAAAATATTGTATTAAAAAATTTTATGAATTATATTTATTAATATTTGTTAAATATAAATTTACAATTAAATTTATTGATATTTTAAAATTATATTTTAAAATTATTTTTTTTTCTATCTTTTTGTATAATATGTATTATTTGCAAATCATAGATATGTGCTCTTTATCTATTTGTAAATATTTATGTGTCTAAAATATTATTATAAAATATTATTATGTTGTATTAAATATAAATTTTTCATTTAATAAATGATTAAAAAATGAAATATAATGATTAATTAAATATATCTTCAAAAATAATTTTTTTTAAATATAATATTTTTAATATAATATTTTTTAAATATTTATAAAAAAATAATTTATTTTGTATTATTTGTTTAGAATTACTTTTTTATTGTTTATTTTGTATTATTTGTATTACTTATTCAAAAAATATAATTATAAAATAAATAAGTTAATAAGTAATAGTTTAAAACATAAATTAATCTAATAAATTAAATTAAATTAAAACAAAGATAATCTAATATTTTGAGAAAATAATATTGTATTTATTGATTTAATATTATTTAATATAATATTATATAATATAATTCATTTTAATATTATTTAATATAATTCGTTTTTTTATTTTATTTAAATAAAATTAATGTTGTATCAATTGCATTATATGTTTATGTTTTTCAATTTCCTTTTCCTTGATATTATATCTCTTGATATTATAATATAATTATTTAATTCATTTGTTTTATTTTTATGTAAGGAAAAAATAGATGAAAATAAAATATCAGTTTTTTATTAAATATTTTATTTCATTAATAACTTCAATTTTATTTTTTTATCTATACAACAACAGTAATAATGTGTACAATTTTTTATATAACTTTATATATGTTATATCTTTATGATGCATATATTTTATAATTTTATAATTTTATGTAAAATTAATTTAAGTGTCATACATAGTACCATATTTTTTTGTAAGATAAGACTATAAGTCTTTTATACATTTATTTCATAATAATTATTGAATAATAAGTTTAAACTCAACTTAAAAGATACATTTACATATGTATGTATACATAATCTGTACATAGGATTTGATGTGTCCAACAGTTATTCTATACACATCTTTTTTTTATTATTTTTCATTCATTGTTTCGTGATACGTATAAATATAAATTATAAGTCTTTGTAATATTATTTATCTATGTCTGCATGTCAAAAATTTTCAAGTGCATTACGTTTTATATTAAAATAATATATAAAGCAAATGTATAATATAAATAGTCCATAGAATAGATACTAATAATAGATATTAATAATAAAAAATATTTGAATTCATTTACAATTATTTCCTTAACATTTATTGAATCTAGTGTGTAGATTAACCTTTGGACGGACTGAACTAACTTTGTTCTATTGTTATTTTTCTATTATTGTGTCACAATTAAATATTAAAATGATTGTATTTTTTTTTTTGCATATAAAATTATTTTTAAAATTTTAACGATTCGATAATTCTCAGATCAATTAAATTATTTATACAAAACTTTTGTAGGCTTTTTTAAATATTATTATGAAATCTATTATACATGTTAAGAATCAATAATTCGAAGAATCTTAAACTTTATTTAATTAAATTTAAATAGTATTAATTTCATTTATAGATTTTTATATTAAATTTTAGTCTAAATATTGTATTGTATTAAGTTTATAATTTAAGAAATAAAATAATTAGTTCTTATAAAAACAAAATGTTTTGTTGATAAAATATACTTCTATTTTTATTGTGAATTTTTTACAAGATATAATTGTCAATATATCATTTGGTCAGAGAGCTTTCTATTGTATTTTTAATGTACATTTTCTATATTATATATTATGCATTACACTCGACTTTCACGGATATCTGCCAATGCTCCAAAATTTCTAGGTTCTTCATCGGAATAAGCGGATTCATTTTCCAATCTGTGTGATCTAGCCTCATCAGTGCTTTGATTTCTAATATAATATGTTATTGAATTAGATTCCATGTTGTGATTAGTTTCATTCATCTGCTCGTTTTCGGAATGCATATTTCTTAAAGTAGATTGATTTTCTTGATTTACTTGTATTGCTGGCCTATCGTTTTCATTAGTATTGTTATACCAATTTTGCGGAGTATGGCTATTATTGTGATTCTCAGAATGAGGTAATCGAACAAAAACTATACCAGTCTCTTGATTATCTCTTTGTGAATTCTCTATATTATTTCTACTTTCTTGACTAATTCTTGATATACTTCGAACTAGATTTCTCGTATTCATTAGCTCATTTGCCGTTATATTATTTGATACTTCATCAATATTATTTGAAACTATTCTTTCGTTGTTTCGTTGAATATTATTATCGGATGTGCAATAATTTCCATTATTCGATAACATATCGTTTTGTTGTTCACTCTCATTTCCGTTCATATTATAAAACGAGGTTTCATCTTGGTAAGTTCTAAGAGCTTCGAAGTTTGTATTACTAAATACTCGTGGTACCATCTCCTGGCTTAATCGATATAATTCTAATTCATTATCTACGTAATAACTATCAAGTGGATTGCTAATGATTGATGGATTTCTCGAGACATTCCTCCGTGGAAAGCTTTGACTCGAGAAATTCGTTACTGTCGCATAAGGATATGCTATCGTATTCATTGGATTACTAAGTATATGTGGACAACCATCTAAGCTTTGCATCTCAATTTCCTCTTTACTATCGTGACAATAATTATGCATATTTATGTCATGAGGAAGATTAGCAAATCTAATAATAGAATTAATTTATTAAAATTTATCAGGAAAAAAAATTTATTATAATTATCTTAAAAAATAAAATTTACCTATGTAATAAGATATCAGAATACGACGGCGGCATATCTGATTCTTCTTTTCCATAAATACTTTCATAAGTTGGTGGTGGAAAACATCCAACAGATCCTAAACTGTCTTTACTTGGCGTTTCTGCATCCATTTCAAGTATGCTACCTTGACTATTTTGCAACTGATGACGATTTATACTTCTTGGATTTCTTTGAGCTCGTAGTACACTGTCACCTAATTCCACTAAATCTAAACCTGTTCCATCAAAAGCGTGGATTGATTTTCTTTTTAAATTAATTATTGACATTTTATATTTATATAGTTCTGAGAATTTTTAGAGTCTTTCTTTCTTTTTAATTATCTCTTTTTATTCAAACGAAATTTTTTTCTAAGAAGAAAAAATGATAAAATTTAATATGTAATTATAATCTTACCAGTTGGATCTGTTTGGAACTGTGTAAAGATTGTACCATCCACAACGAGCATTCTACCGTGTGGTAATAAAATAATCGTTGGTGTTGCTACCATCGTTTGATCGTTGTTGCTAAATCGTGAATCTGGTTCAGGATCCTCGAGTCGACAACAACAGTGTCGTCTGCATAAAGATCTACAGAACGGAGCACCCCAACAGCAATAAGCGAATATAAAACAAAGCACAGCAAGCATCACCAGAAGAGCGGCCACCCCTTGGCCTTGTTGAGCGGCTGCGAGGGTTGGACCACCGGCGACGCCGACACCGACACCGACACCGAATCCTAACCCTCCGCTGCTGCTCATTTCGCCTGCAAGCATTATTCTTCCCTTTAATCTTCAATTGCATCATGGTGATCTATAATAATTTAAATTAAGTTATTTCATTATATGATATTTTATAGATTTTCTCATTCTTATCATTTTTTTGCATTTTACGCAATAAAAATTATCGATGGAATTTATCATGTAAAAGTATCATGTAGAAGTTTGATTAATCCGCATTTTATTTCGAAAAATATTTTAATGAAAAAATTGGACATTACTTATAAATATTTTTTGTTTTATATGAGAAATATATTTCAATCCGCAATGCGGAATAAACAGTAATGTATGTATTTCTGGCAATATTCCAATATTAATATAAGCAAAATCTTATCATTGTTTTTTAAATATTCCAACATTATTTAGAAATGAATTGTTACAATATTCTATATTTTTTTATGATTGTTATAATATTATTTTTATATATTAATTCACATATTAGTTACTTGAAATCTTTGAAATCTTTTTTGCCCTTTTTTTTTGTTAATAATATAAAAAATGTGTGTTATATCTTAAATGATATATGTTACGAAAATTGATAAGAAAATCATGCTTTATTGTAATTTATTCATGAATTATGACACGTGCGAAAACTAATTTTGAATGTTGGAACGCTCTCTCTTATGCTAACAGAATAAATTTCGTTATCTGCCGGAAAATAAAGCAAGGTGAAAGTGAGAAGAATGTAATAATCATAACATATCATTGTCAATGGGTTAGTTATTTTAATATTTTCAGATTCATAAATTAGAAAATTGAAATAATAATTTAGTAATAAAAAATTGAAAATTAATTATAATGAGAATAATAATTCAAAACTATTTTTAAATTAACAAAAATATGTTAACAATATTTTTTTAAATATTTAATGTATTATTTAATAATATATTTATTTATTTAATTTGCAATTATATTTCCTCTTTTATTATAAATTTAAAACTTCTTTTTTATTAAATTATATAATATAAATTGTGACTGTTGAGATAACAATAAAAAATTAATCAAATAATTGCATATAATTATGTATTATCAGACATTTAAAAAGAATAAATATAAAAATTTACCTTGGGTGGTAGTGTTGTACAGCCAAGTCGTCCCCGTGGTGGTCACAGACTCCGCAATTTTGCGCGATCCGTACACCATGAAAATAATCTTCTTAAATTTCAGAGAAAAATATCCACTTCTTCTTTTTAATGATGTTTAAACACAAAATGATTATATTGACAATCGTTATACATAACGTGCATCACATCACGCGATTCAAAGTTCCTATTTAAACTAATAACGATCCAAGAAATATATACAAACTAATTGTATCTGAACGTTCTTTAATTGTTATTGATGTGATAGGATGATTATTTTGTAAATACAATTTCATTTCTGTATTCTGTTTCTTAATAAATTGTATCATAGAAATATTTTTAATTACAAAATTTATCGCGAATTTATTATATGGCCGAAATTAATTTAAATTGACCGAGTTTCTCATTGTTAATGACATTGCAGGAAACGATGATGATATTATGTCGTGATCTTAATGATCCTCGCGACAAACTCGCAGAAGGATCTCTTCACGAAGGCATTGAGCGTGAAGTCGAACAACGTACACTGTCATCGTGTAGATACTCTTGACCCATTTTAATATCTCCCCACTTAACATCAACCTGCTGCTTTTCGCCTTCGATATCTTTATTTCTCAATTGAGGACATCTACTGGTTCAATACATTTCGTTTCTTTGTTATGTTTCTTTTTCACGTTAGAAATAGATTTAAATTCTAAGATTCGAGTTTTACCGCTTGATCAATTTTTCATATTGATGGAATATTAATTTTAATATATTTTCATCTTCATCATATATTTTGGTTAACGCCATTTCTTTTCTATTTTTTTATGCCCCCATAATTTTCGCTTTGTTTTATAATCAGGTAACAGAATTGAATTTCATCGATCGAAAATTTAAATTTCCCGGAAAATCTACTGATCAATGTCATCAGACGCAGTGCGGTTTTTAAATAATGGATCGACAAATTTATGAATTTGCGTTTGGACATTCAAGAAAAATGATATTTAGATATTCGTTGTTCGAATTTTATAGAACATTTAATAATAAATGTTTTTTTTTACTTAACATTTTTAATTACTGATAAATATTATTTAAGTATATATACTTACTTATAACATTTTATAGTTATAACAACAAATTTTTATTCGTTTTTTAATAAAATTATTATTTATTTTATATTTAAATATTCATTCAATTCTTAAATCGAATTGTTGATATCCCTTTCATTTTGTAAGCTTGACGTCATTGACTGCAGATGAAGGCGCGCCATATTATTTACTGTCAGTGTATTGTGTATTTATACAATGAGTTTTTAAAATATTTTTTTTTCTGCATTGTTTAATTTCAATATAATATTTAAAAATTTCACTATCATATTTTTCAATCGAATTTATTAATTAGATCGAATCCTATTCTTCAAGGTTGAAGTTATCAGTTACAAATTAAATCGCTCATTTAAAAATGAAATAATATTTTAATATCGTATGTATTTTAATATCGTGTATATATTATTATCGCACTCAAAAAATAAAATCGTATATATAATACATAACAAATCGCGAAATCAATTTCACACTTATCACTTTTTTTGTAATTTTTATACCACGATTTATAATTATTGATTTATACGAACACAATTGATTTAAAGAACACAATAATAATTTTACTTTTTTTTTTAAATTTGTTTCATTGAAAGAATAATAATTACAAAAAAGAATTTTATTTATTCGTTGTATATGGGTTATATCTATGAGGCCAATGTGTCAAATGCGTTACTACCCTCGAACTTCTCTGTAACTTGTGGGGCGCAGCACCTTCTCATAGCCCCTCGAAACACTGACTTACGATTCGTCAATGTTCTACTCGGTGGCGCTTGTTTCTACCCACTTTCCATAAATAGAATCAAAGTTAATCCTTATTATTTTTTTAATATTATAAATATTTTTTTATCTATGTTTTAAATATAAAAAAATTTTTTTTTTAAATTTCTAATGATCTTTATATGTTTTATTAAATAATGCAATAAATTTTACTTTAAAAATAAATTTCTAAATTTAATAATAGTACATTATTATAAATAAATAATAATACACTCTAATTCATTTATGCTTTATTTATTTAACAAAAATATTTATAACAATATTTTACAGTGATATATTTAATTATAATAGTTATAATATAATTTATTATTAATATAATTTAATATAATTTAAATATTTTATTATTATTATTTAATTTAAATATTATATTTAATATAATAGTTAAATAAGTGAGAAATTATTTCTCCGGTAAAATATTTAAAAGCCATTTTTTAAAAAATTGTATCTGATTGTTACCTAATTCATGATCAACATTATCTAATGGTACAAATTGAGCAATAACTCCAAGTTTTATTAAATTATTATAAGATTCTCTTCCCCATTGTATTGGAATAAGTGTATCTTCTATACCATGGAATTGTAGAAGAGGTGGCGTACGTATATTTGGATTTTTTTGTAAATTCTATTTATAATAAGAAAAAATACATCAAATATGTTAATTTTAAAAAAATTATATGAAAATTTATTATTTGTATAAGATACATACCTCATATATTAATGAATTTTTGTTAAGAAAACTAGACATAACACAACAACCAGCTAAAGATAATTTATATTTATATGATAAATATAATGATAGAGCTCCTCCCATTGAAAAACCACCAACAACAATTCTATCAGAAGAAATTCCATTAGAAATTTCTTTATCAATAAATTCTGTAACAGTGGTACAAATTGAATTTATTGATTCATTATCTTCTGATGCATCAATAGATATGCCTTTACGATCAAACCATACATGACTAGGCTAAAAGCATTCATTTTTATATTAATTATCAATATTTTTTTTTATATTGTATTTTACACTATATATATTTTGACTTTGTTATTAATTTATTACCATTCCATTATTAGGTGTATAAGGTAATAAAGGTGCAGTAGGATAAATAATTTTTATATGTGGAAATTTTAATTCTTCTCTATTTAAAATATCAATCCATTCTTTAAAATTATTTCCAGCAGATCCTAAAGTAAAAATGTGAAAAATTTTTACTTTATTTTTTAATTTTTAACTTGTGTGTAATTTTTAACTTGTTTATATTATTTATATAAAAATTGATAATATAAAAATTATTTATAATATATATTTATGCTATTTACGATATTACAATATACATATGAATACAAATATAAATACCTGAACCATGAAATAAGAACAGACTAGCACTATGCCTTTTAGTAGCACTTACAATGTCAATCTTTGGTAGTCTAGTCATATTATATTTATATGTTCTAACATTAAAATAATGAATAATTACAATCTGTTTAATGATTTTTTAAATAATGATAATCAGTTTATCAATATTATTTATTTTTTTATGCAATACAAGATGTCCAACATATACTAAGTTAATGTACCTAAATATTCCTATTCTGTGAAGGTAGTTTCCATTGTGTTTTAATAGCGCAATTAATGAATTATAAGATGTATTTGATTAATTTATATATAAAATAAAAACAGAAACTATATACTTACATTTTTATTAAAAATATTTATTGCAATTTGCAAAGTAATATAAAGTTAATGACGTTCATTCAAATCTAATTATTAATAATATGTTAATAAATTAAAATATATATAATTATAATATTTAGATATTAAATATTTCATAGTACATTTGAAACAAATACGAACTATTTCGAATGAAAATCTTTATTCAATTGTTTATAAAAAAATCATTGCTCGGTTAATCATGGTCGAACTGTCGACATAACCACATTTCTGCGCACGCATATCTCGATTTTCATTCGACTCTCTTCGAGATCATTTGAAATCGCATGCCAGACAGCGGTCCGGCTGGGTTAAGGCACGAGTGCTTGGTTGTGTTGATAGGGTATTAGTGTCGCGTTGATGGATACGTCGGTGGTGTTCTGCTAAAATTTTTCTCACGCTGTTCGATCAGTAGAGTTATGTTTAATGAATCGTAACGTCCTGGCAGAACGATGCAGAGAAGTGGTGAGTAGTCAGAAGTTTTCTTCAACATATATGAAACATAGAAATTCGATGGTTCGCAAAGACAACCATTTTGAGGGCGCCAAATTTTTGCGTCAATACACAGCGCCGTAACTGCCCGGTCAATACAGCAGCCGACCTAACCTACCAACTATTCGGTGAAATAGTTCAGCCGCTTTAATTTAACCATATAGATTGTATTTTTATTATATTTTTTGGTTTTCGTGTGAGTCATACACTCTTGAAGTTCAAATTCCTTTCATTCATGTTATTCTAATATGTTATTAACAGAATTCTTATTTTTTTGAATGTCATATAATTTATACTATTCTTTTTTCTTATGAATTTTGTTAACAAATTTTAAGAAAACATTATATATAACATGTATATCCTCTCTTTTCCTATTATGTGCAAATATATCGTATGATAATAGATAATTTTTCCATTATTGTAAATATTAGATAAAAATATTATGCCATGGTTTTATTTTTTATTATAAGTATTATATTCAGTGTGTAATATAAAAAAATAACTATCTGCATATTGAAATATAAATTTAAATAACTATTTATTAAGATCAAAATACATATGTATATTCATTTTATTCTCGGATATAAAACTTAAAGATAAAATTTTGTTTCCGTTTTCGTTACACAATATCATGAAGCTTGCTGGTTATGCACTGTACTTTGATGTTATGTTTCATTTCACTTATCACCATCACTTACTCAACCGTACACAAGTGGTTTAAATAGCCCGGTGTAAATTGCCATCTCAAGTTAACCAGTAGAAATCAAAACAAATCTTTTCTGAGAGCTGAACTCTCTTCCTACACACTGTTTATCTTGATTACGTTTATTAACCATTGAAGATTTTATACGTGCTATAAAAATAATATATAATTTCATTTTAGATTATATTTAATCATTTTAATTTACAAATAAAAAACTTTGAAAGTTAAAATTTTAATATTAAAAAAATATTAAGAATATTGTTTGGAAAATAACATTCGTATATTATCCGTAGTTACACTAATGTTACACTAATGTAGTATTCTCAACCAACTCGTTTTCTTTAGTCATGTAACTTTAAACTATTATTCTACACGACTTGGTGAAATCATATCTGTCATATGCATATACCGATCTCGGTAGTAATGCAATAACAGTGAGTACATCTTGTCTATCTATCTTTTTTGCTTTCTTCTTGAAAAGTATATTCATTTGTACTTGTACTACTAGAAAAAAGAATGGCAAAGAAAGTATTTCACATGGTTGTTTTTAACAATGTAATAATTTTGCACTATTTTGTAATAAAATAATTTTATCTCAAATATTAAGAATTATTCAGTAACAATGAAAGGCGAAAATAATAAATTAGTTATTGTTTATTTGAGATGTATTTTGAACTTACTTTATTGTACGTTCATTTATCTGACCTCGAAGTTTGAATGAATAGTTAACTGTATTTGAAGAGCTCAAACTTCTTATCGCCTCTTGCATCGTGTTAACTATTTTAGATTCAATATCGATAATATCATTAAGGTTTTATAATATATATAATATTTATAGCATAAAGCATAGAAAAAAAGCATAGAAGAAAATATAAGAGAATTAATTGTTTAAATGTACAAATTTTAGTTTCCTAATCTTCATTATCATTATCAATATTTTACTATTACGATAAGTTACGATAAGTACGATTTCGTTGTAGCATTGTTAAATTACCGATAAGTTATAGATAACATATCGATAAGTTATCGTTATTTATTCAATAATCACAATTTTACATCCACATTCATATATTTTAAATATATAAAAAAAAGGAAGACATTGAATTAAATTTTAATATTCAAATAAAATCGAACATAGCCAAACATTCGAATATTTTAATATTCGAATAGCTAAAAGTACTTAGTTTGAATTGGATACAAAACGAGATTAACTTGTTTGAATACTCGTTTCGAATTTCGAGTACTCAAACAACTTTGCGTCATGTATTATTCACAATAAAAAGAAACGCCTCTTTTAGAATTGTCTGTAAACTCTTGATATTTTTCCATATATATTATTTATTATATATTATTTATTATATATCAGAAACAAAAATTATCATTATTCATCAATAAAAATCAAACTCTTTTCTAATTACGTTTATCGATGAATCAATAATCTTTCAGTTTTATTAAATCTTTTATATTAGTACATTAGATACATTACATATATATATACATATTATTAATTTTTAGATTATAAATTATATTGAAAAGATTAAAATAAATTAGGTAATTCTTTTTCTCATAAATTTAAATTCAATATTTAATATTCCGATTGTAATCCTTAATAATCCTTTATTAGAGATAAAAGTATGTGCGATTACCATCGGTGAGGAGATGATCGAACGAACATTATCTCGATCTTAGAATAGATCGCGATGCATCGTGCGTTTGTAATAGAAGTTCGACGGCTGATTGACGGAGTAACAGTTATGGTAGCATAAAACCGGTGCATCGGCCGGAACATAAAATAGAAAGAAGGGAAGAAAGAAAAGAGGGAGGCAGAGACCGTAGGTTTAACATTATAATTGTCCCGCGCACAGAGAACGGTCGGCCACTTCTTCGCCGGCACGTGAAACACGCGGAGCCACCGATCTTGAACCGGCGTGCATCGTCAACATTTTAGTACACTTTCTGTATTCGAGGTGTAGACACGCGGAGCCTTCGGTTCATCCTCGTAAACCGGCATACATGATCGAATTATTGTGTTATTTATTTATTATCTTAGAATTTCGTGTGATAGTTCTCGATAGTATATTTTTTCCTTTTCGCGAATAACGAAATGGTTGTAGTGTGATTTAAACGAATCACAGGGACCAGTTTGATCTCAGATATTATTTGACAATTTCTTTGTACCTGACATCGATGAGAAGCAAAATGTGTGTTTCACAAGACAACAATTTTTTTGTTTTAATCCAATGATCAATTGTTATTAAGTGAGCGAAGAGAGGATTCGATAAAGGACGTGGAAAGTGATCGATCAGAAGGATTGTTCTCATCGAAATCATTTTATTAAAGGCAGCTATCTTTTTTTTCCGTAGAAAGGCCGTGGAATTTCCAGATATTTTTATTCCGCGCGAGTAGCCAGAAAACGCGACGTGAAATCGCGAGTCGGTGCTCCTCCTCTCTATAATCCAATTTCAAGTTTTGTGTTTCTTTTGTAGCGTAACGAAACCTTAGGAATCTCGCTTCTATCGCGGTTATCTCGTCAATATCCAATCCGTTGACACGGTAAAAAGCAACCGATATCGAAGAAGGAAAGGCCATTGTGACCGACTTATTAATTCGATTAATTCGATCGATTACAATTTTTCCTTTTTCTATAGAGTTATATTTTATTTACAATTTGTGCAATGTGACAAATATCTCATTACTTGTACAATTTCTTTCACGATAAATTTGAATCATAAACTCATCGATTGGTCATTAATATTCCGATACTTTGCATCGAAGAATATTCATCTTATATGCAGCATAAATATATAAGGAAAGTAATTCTTAACAGTGAACGATTATCTTTTCGTTCATAGTGATATCGTGTTCGAAGAGTTCCAATAGTCGTTTGTTCGAAACATCAATTGAATCGATGTCTCGAGACGAATCGCGAGAAGAATTCTAATGATATTTAAGATCCGACATTGGAATTTTCGCGGTTTTCTACTTTTTGCGATATCTATTTTCGGGTCGCGTTTACTCACGTCTCGAGCTGGTCCCGTGATTCTAACTCTTTCCAGTTGAAAGAAAAAGTTTGATAGCGGCGACAAAGTAAGAGAGAGAGTTGATGTCCCTATGATCAAAATGGAAACTTCCACTGTAGTGTTTATCCCACAAAATACACGTAAGCGAATCCTTTTGCGATTTTATTAATTAGCAATGAAATGAGTTAAATGATATTTAGCAATTAAATAATCATAATTGATCATGCGAATAAAAGAAAAGATCTCTTGAGAAAAATTAGGGTTAATTCAATAGCAGAACTGGTTCTTGATAATTCAATTTGATAAATTAAAAATAAAGTGTTGCCAATTAAACTCGATGCTCCGAAACTCTTATTAATCGAGGGACAATACTAATTTATATCTCTTCTAACAAAGTTGACAGGCATAATTTGTGCGTGTTCGACTTGTATTGAACGAAACAGATTAATTTGCGGTGCATTATCGATGTTTCGATTAAATTGCTCGACCGAAACTACATTCGAGAGACGTACCTTTTAATTGGATCGTTGCGCGTACATTAACCGACTGAAACGAGAACGATATTTGAAATATCTTGAAGTTAATTCAAGATATCTTGGGAATTGAAAAAATTGTTAATTGGAATGAAAAAAATTATTTCCATACATAAATTATCAGAACCAATATCTTTCTTTGATAGAAGTTTAAAAAAAGATATATTTTATTTGAATGATATATTATTTGCTTATTAATAATTATTTGCTCGAATATATATAAAGTAGAACTGGAACGAGGTCATTCCTCTGTGATGTTCTAGCACTTAATATCCTGTTCAAGATAATTAGTGGATCGCCTAATAGATCGACCTAATTGCCCAATAATGTACCTAATACTTCGACAGTTAAATTATATTAATTCCTTCATTGCATTCCACGATTGACAGTGGGAAGAATACAAATCAATAGCTAAGAAGATAGCATAAACGCAACAGTATAATAATCGAATATAAATATTAATAATGAAATTTGATATTTATTATGGTGATTTTATAGGATTAGTTAATTTCAGTTTTTTCCTAATTATTTGCAAAAAAAAGAAAACACTATATTAAAACATTATATGTATATTTATAAAATCATAAAATACGTTCTTTATAGTAGACTAACATATTTTTTCCCCCCTTTGCATCACTATTCCTTTTCCTCCTTCCCGTTATCCTTTTATCGCACTTGTCTTTCCTTCCTCTTTCTCCGTTCTTCTGTTTCCGGTTTCACGCGGATGTTGGATGACCGCACGCGACGCGATAAATGCCGGCACGATGACGATGATCACTATAACTACGACAACGTCACAACCGCCACGGGTACTTCGGACACTACGGCAGCGGTAAGTTTCTGATAAGGCTAGTCACATTCCAATTGTCGGCCGACACGCGTGGAAGCGTGCCCCGTGTTCGCAATATTAAGAACATGCGTTTCGTTCCGTAACTTCATACTTTCATACTTTCAGAAACAATTTTTTCGTTTTTCGATTGTGTTTCGTTGTGATATTTTTTTCTATTCATCAATTCAAAGACGAAATATTAAGAAAATTACTTAAATTTTCTTTGTTGTTTTTGAATCTTAACACGATCGATACATGACGTATAATTTTATGGGAATTTTTGATAAGTTTGTATGCAAACATGATAATAATTTTTATTTTCATTTTCATACAGTGATGAATAAGTGATATCCCTATCTATTTTACTTCATTATAATGTAAAATTAAATTGTTCACAATTTGAAAACTAAATTTTAACGGATATTTTTGCACATCAACTCTTATGTTTATTTTGATCTTGAAAATCGATCCTTTAAAAGTGTCCTATAAATATATTATTCTGTATAGTGTTTTTCTTGTTCTTTCAAAATATTTTAAAAAAATTAAAAATAATTTTGTCAGAAATCAATGTCTCCCTTGTATTTTTCAATAATATTTACGAAATAAACATTTAAATATTTCGTCAGTGAATTATATTGGATTGATCGTGTTAAGGAATTTATCTCAATAATTTTTATGACACATCTATTATAAGATTCGAGAAAAAACTCGTAACTGATTCATTTCACGTGAATGATTGAGATCATCAAAGTATGTAATGTGATTTAATATAAGATATAATTGCGATAACGTTTAATAATCGATCTAAGTTTGCGCAAAGATAAGTCCGAGAATCAACTTTAATAATATTTTCGGTTTTTTATTAACATCATAACGGAGAATTAATTAATTATTAAACTAAGTAGAGAATTCATTTTTTAAATAGTTAAATTAATCATTCTAACATGAAAAATTTAAATTTATAACTTAAAACTTAATTCAATTGTGTGTATTTAAACTTGTTCTTTGTGCATTGAAGTGTTGAAAATATTAGTTAAAGAATATATAAAAAAGTTGAAAGATATTGAAGAATATGTAAAATCTGACGAATTTTAAACATCGATTGGATTCTAATGTGCAATTAATAAAAGAAACAGACATTCATTGTGATGCGATAAAATCGTTAAAATGCCAGTAACTGCATTGTCGAGACGTCGTCTCAATCCGGCAATTCTTGCCAGATACAATAATCAACAAGCCAATTCTTCTCAACAGGTAGTTACTTTCGTTTTATTTTTTTATTTGTATGATTATAAATTTTTGTTGAAAAAATTTTGATATGAAATATTATTATTTATATCTTGACCAATTTTTATCCATATCAAGTAAGGTTGACTAGCGAGTTTTGTAGTAAATAAATGAAATATTTTAATTTTTATTTCAATAATGTGAATATTGAAATAGCAAATATGAAACCATGATAGTAGATGATTACAAAAATTTTATTATGTTTAATAAAAAAACATGATCTATATCATATTGTCCAACTGTAAATTTTTGTATAGTATTAATAATTCTGTTAATGATTTTTTTATTAAGTTGTCATGCTTGGTATTCTAACGTGACACTAGGAAGTACATAGCAAAATACATACTTGGAGTATCATTGTGGCCTTAATTGGACTTCGAGCTAATAAAAGCATTGAACTATTGCTATATATATATATCATTGTATTTCTGAATACCACTTGTATTCACATATTATTTTTAATCTTTTTTATCTAAAATTTTTATTTCTAGAAAATAATATTATAAAGTAATATTATAGATAAAGTGTACTAGTTTACTTTTAATTTATATAAAAATAATTATATGTATTTTTATCTTCGATATTAATAAAAAAGAATAATTTTAAATATTAGTTAAATTATATATTTTTAAAAATATTATGAAACATATATATATTTCAAATTAAATGAACAAAGAAAAAAGTTCATTGAACGTATAGCGTTACTATATTCAAAAAATATATATATATATTATATATATAAATATATATTACTATACTTATGTTTAGACTATATATATAATTTTCATAATTATATTTTATATTCACAAAATAGTTGGTAAAAAAAAAAGTGTGAAAATATATAATTTTTTTTATAAATTTTTCTTTATTCTCTATATATTTTATTATTTTCTCTATTATTCTCTATATATTTATTCTCTATATATTTCTATTATATGCACATAGATTTCAAATTTTCTATATATTTCAATCATATTGTTACAAAATAAAATCTACGAATTGGTTTCAAATTAAAAAATGAAACAGTATTTATTTATATGCCAGCACTAGATGTATCTTCATTTAAAATATAGAAAAAATGATTTCAAACATGATTCGTCGACTTCGTAAGAACACTGACCGAACCGTATAGCGAGAACAATATGTTCGCTCATCCGCCAGGTTGGTCGTATAGCGAGTTACTATTGGTCGTCGTTATTCCACGGAACACATGCGCAGTAAGAGAGGCAGCCTCGTTGGTTATCTGACGAGCACAAGCGGTAGTGTAGTGAATTTACCCCCACTTTTAGTAGTAGCTGCGTCAGGCGTGGTCGTTCGTTAGGGACCGCAGTATATCCGAGTCGGGCGAGTCGTATGAATCGGTCTGTGCTATCGCTTGTCAACTATTGTTGGCAAGACTGTGTGCATATACGCGCGTGCGAGTTAGTGTTAGTGTATGTGCTTGGCAGAGAGGTCGTTTAACTTTTTCTCCCCCACTGTTGTTTTTTTCTTACTTGAGAATCGGTGGAAGAATAACGTCACTTAAATCTTTTTTTCGGAAAAAAAGAAAAGGAGAACTAGTCGATAATGAAACAATGCATAGAAAAGTGAGAGTGAACGTGGCCACGTTCGGCCGGTTTGCCGACAGCGTGAATCACCAGCAACACCGGCGTTCATGAGCCCACGCAGTGCTAACCGATGCACGATTTCTCTCTTTCTCTTCTTTCTTTTACTCTTTTTCTTACTATTCTCTTTCGCTCTTTATTCCGTATTACATATTTCGCACTCTCCTCTGGTACGAAAGTGTTATTTCACACGCGTACGCAAATTTTTCGTTCAAGTGTGACAGATATAATACACAAAATCATAATAGTGAGTACATATTTACTAGTTTTCTTTCAAGTAATTAATCATTTAACAATGGATATATATATGTGCATGTGCTTTTGTGCTCGAATTGTGCATTCATTTGTAATATTATCTGCGATGTCTATGACCGTGATATGGTTTCTGTTGATCCTGTGTAATAAAGGCGTTTCCAAGGGCAAATCGTGGCTTTCACAGCGGCTAAGTTATCGCCATTCAAGGGATTCGAGTTCACATTCTAAATCCATTGTTTTCGTATCTTTTTTCTGTATATTTTGCTAGAAAATAGATTAAAAGAATTTTTTCACAAATTCTTTATCTTTCTTCTACAATTTAATACAAATTGTTTAAAAGAGGTTAATATCTTATACAATACCATGTATCATTTTTTATGATAAAACAAGTGTTTTCAAGTTTAGCGTTTATGAAAAATTTTCTGATAACTGGCGATTGAAATATGAAAAAAAAAAAAACTAATATATTTTTAATTTATTCTGTTGCAACTTTGCTTATCGCTGATCTAAATCCAATTAAAAATTAAAAAAACCATTAAAAATTATATTTTTTTGTATTTAAAAAATCTCGGATTAATTAACATTATGCAGTAAATTTATCATTACAGTATAAATATCAACAGTAGCATAAGTTTAAAAAAACCGATATTAAGCTAAAAAAGCAACTGCATATAATATATTTTCGTTATTTTTCACTTCAATAAAAGAATGGTTTTTATTTCGTTCTATTTTTTTCATTTATATTTTATCTATTTTCATCGAACAATTCACATATTCACAATACATTCCATTATATGTAAATCATTTTTACATATTGTACACTGTAAATTAATTTATATTAACTTATGACTCCTTCTATTCTTAGACAAAAAGAAAAAGGGAAAAAATATGACATAACTCTGCATTATCAATTTGCTTGAACGATAAAAAGGACCAAATTAAATATATTGAGAATTGTTTCTCAATAAAGGGGAGAAAGAGAGAATTGTGTCGAACATAGATCACGTGAGAACGTGGAAATGTCGACCGAAAATCAAAACGGTTCCGCTGGTACACAAAGCAATGGAATAAAAACCACAATTGGTTGGTCGTCGTCCACAAGGACTGTCTCGAACAATTCATCGTTTTTACATACTAGCAACTCGATGTTGAACCGTGACAAGCCGCGTCAAGTGCCACCACCAACTTTACCGAAATACACATCGAGTTTTAATGCCGGTTGGAATGGCAGCGGCACAACCGAACGATTAAGCAGAGATCGCGAAGTCGGAGGTAGTTACAGGCTGGCAAGCCTTGACAGACTTGCCCTCAGGCAGAGGATATTGGACGGGGAAAAAACGAATGGTGACACCACGTCGGTAAGACTGAGCATCCTTTCTTTTTTCATCGATGATTCATTATGTTCGTATAATTTTTCTATTAAAATAGACAATTTATGATAATTTTAAACTGTTTATAACAAATGATTCAATATTTATATTGAAATTGATTGTATATATAATGAAATTGTTGATACTAGATTTTTAGAAATTATTATTTAAGACAAATATAGATAGAAATGGAATTGCGCTAAATACTAATTGATGGAATGTGAAATTTATCACAAATAGCAAGCTTGTTTCGTATGCGAGACTGCCGAGATTAGTTTTTAAGGTAGATTTCATATCGATTAACTTAACCTGATACGCGTTTAACTGGCCGGGTCATAGAACCTTCTAACCTTAGATGTCTTTGAGGAGCTTCACTATAAATTTAAAATCGATAAATTTATAAAGACAATAAACGAATGCTTTAATTAACAAAAAGATTAATTAATTACGGCGATCGAAAGTTATGTGAAATGTTAACACGATTATAAAAACAAAAAATTTTGTTATGTCAAAATCATAGATTTAATTTCTTTTAAATAAGTAATAATATGAATTGTCAAAGATCAATATGTTTGAAATTTTTAAATATGAATTGCATTATAAATAAATTTTCATAAATAGAGGTGCAATTGCATTTTCCAGGAGTCGTTGAAAATTTTGATAAATAGATAAGAGGTCTGTCATGTTCTTCGTAACTTCGTAACTTCGTAACTCAATCTCATCTTTTGAAGAATCAAATTTTATATACCTACTATATACGTAGAGGTCGCTCGTCTTCACACTCGAAGATTCCGCATAAAGCACGTGATCGTTTCATTTATTCCGTTCTTATGAGAATCATTTATAACTCAAGAAATCTAATTAAATTTATATCAGTTTCGAATTAAAACTTGTTGACAAGTCTTATTTTTTTATTATTTAATAAAATCAACTACATATTTTGGTTATAATATGATTAATTATTATCACAATATATTTTCTAAAAATAGAAAGAACATAATAATTTATATATTGACATAGATCTATCGTTTAAAATAAATTTTGATAATTATTTTATTAAATGAACAAAATTTTATTAATCTAGTATTGCAATATCTCCAATAGTTAATTGTTCTAAGATAATTGCAATTTCAGAAATTTTTAATTTTTCTTTTTCTTTAAAAATATGGCAGATAAATTAATTGCATTTCACGGATGAGTCAAAGATTAATGAGAATCTCTGTCACGAACACGTGGCGAGTTTACCCTACGCTTATATGCGTGAGAGGGAGACAAAAAGTAGGGAAAGAGAGAAAGAGAGAAAGAATTTGCCAGTGGGACGCATAGTAAAAGTGATGGAGAGAAACAAGTCGGGGGAGGAACATATGGCAGCGTTCTTATCTCTATTTTCATGGGCTTTCGCGCTCGCAAGAGACTTAGCTTTTAATTCTCCTATCGTCAAGCATGTGTTTCCGATTCTTCAAAACCACGCCTCTCTCTTGCCAGCTTATTTTTATCCTTTTTGAATTAGACTAAATTTCGAGCAACTTGTTGGAAATTTGAACGGATAAAAACACCTTCCGTTGAACAAATAACGTTGTGGAGGAGTGTAATTTAAGTATCCAGAATACGTTGGCCTTGGAAACACGAGTCGTTGTAGCTCTTCGACACACTATTTTATAACCTACTGTTTTAGCTATTTTCATACATACACAACTTTTCATAAATCTTAAATATTTTTTTAATTAATAATCTTCATAAATTTTTTTTTAAATTCGATAATTTTATTTTCATAAAGAATATTTTCTTAAACATCGTTAATAAGCTTTGTAAGATATTTTTTGTAAGATAAATTTTGATAGATACTCTTCCTTTGATAAATCTTTTCTAGTTGAGCGAGAGACGAACAAGTCATCGTAAAAATTTGAGAATCACTGAACCGCGTATATGGTCACCCCTCATGTGATGGAAGGGAGTCTGAGGCAATTTTAGTTGAGGGTCCAACCCTCGATGGTGCGTCATAGACAATAGAAAAGTACACTGTAATTCGTGACTCACAGAACAAGAAAAAGGATACACTTTAAGCGGAATTTAAATCGTATACGCGTGTCATTTATCGTTCTGAACTTGTGCGAAACAATTTGACGAATAGTATTCATTATAACAGAAGTAATATTCATTGATTTAACCGTGTAGTTTCGAATTCACGTTTAAAAGGCCGCTACGAAATTATCGAGGACGGCGATCATCGCCCCTTATGAGTCTTACCGACACGAAACCGCAGTTAAAAGGAGAGGATAGAAACTTCCAAGAAGGATGGAGAATCATGTTCGATAAAATGAAAATTTATGACTTCCGTGGTCGACCTTAAATGAGATCATTGTTCCGTCTTCGATAAATGCAGCTTGTTGAAAGAATTTTCAAGTCTTTTTTTTTTTTTTTTTTTTTAATTTAATTTTTTTATAATCTGTACATAAATGACATGGTGGCTGCCGAATACTTTGAAAAATACCTTGAAAGACGCTTTGTCTCAAATTCTTATTTCAAAGGAATAATTGTTGAAAGATCAATTAAAATTAAACAAATATTTATATGATATTATTATGTTGAATTGACATTGTAAATCAAAATTATCTGCTAATTTTTTAAATCTTCAATTTTTAATTAATTCTTCTATTTTATTCGATTTATATATATCGATTATCCAATATTATCTCCATAAATTAAAAAAAATGTAACTCGTTTAAGTATTTCTGTATATTTTCATCGATTGTTAAAAATGATATATAAAAGAACAAAATATCGATCTGGATCTAGAATCGGTTGGTTGTTAGATCTCGCGAAACCAGTTTCGGTACAACGTCATTTAGAGAAGAAAACTGAAACTCGACTGGCGTGTAAATTCATACTGTAATGACCCTGGTTTGATTCCATTGGAACACGAAGGGGAAACCCGCCCACTCGATACACAGTGCACCCTTTCAGAAAAGCAGGCCGCGTCCCACTTTTTTCTCCCTGTTTTTTCCCCAAACAACGTTCGGTACGATATTTTCAACCCTTCAAGCGGAGATACGTATGTACCTAAGTGCTTATGGCGCGTTTCCGCGTGCTCATATACGTTTTTTACATGAATAGCGGTGGAATTCTGAATGAAACAAAATACGAAGAAAAGACTTGGACATTGGAGGAAAAATACGAGGAGATATAACGTGGGGGAGTAAACAAGACGAAGATCAGTTGCGAACTGTTCTCTCATTTCTCTGAATGAACTTCCGCAATTGCATCGAGAGTTTCCCCAAATGTTATCCTCATTTTTTAAAAGCTTTCCTTCGTTCGAAGAATTTATCCATTTCTAATACTTTAATATATATATATATATATATTTTTTTTCTGGATCATGGATAATCAATAATTTTATAAGACATTAGCAACAAAAGGTTCCTTGATAATGAACACCTTAGATTATTAGTCGTCTGCATTCAAAGGAGCTTTTGCCAAGTTCTAAAAGCTTTGCCTGTCGGAAGGCGCATCAACGGCGTACATGGTTTTTCCTCGTGTTCCTTCTTTGGAGAACTACTATTCCCAAGCGAAGAGTCACGCGCAATAGATCATTTCCTCGTTTACCATGGGTTTCCAAGAACCCATGATGCAAACTTCTTGCCAACGTATAATCGAATAATAAGAAAATTATCCGATGCATTCTTGCCGAACGATCATCGCGGTTGGGTACACCAGCATTATCCTTTCGAAATGATTTTCTTCCTATAATCATCACGGGGTTATCCGCTGGCGTGGTTCGAAAGAAATACTCGAGAACTGGGTGTACACTTACTGTCCTGTAAAGTAATAATAAAACGGAGTAAGTTTACGCTTTCGTGTTCGCTTTGAACGATATTCGAAACGATAAGACAGATTAACGGGTTGATTCGAAAGAGGCACGAACGACTAATCCTGCCCCCCTGGCTCGTTTAGAAAAGCGGCGTCCCGGGCTTGGTTGAACGTTAATTGAACGAAATTAGCCGAGACGTTGTGCTGGCACGTGCGAGACTGGCAGCGTCTTGCTGGTAGAATTTCACCGAGACGTGGTGCCCTTACGAGAGAACGTTAATTAAGAAGATTCGTCCGGGTCGAGGACACCGTGCAATACCGTGATCTGGAAGATGCATCCGTTTAACGGATGAGAATTTTACGAGAATTGGGTTATGCGTAGGCCTGGTATTCGAATTAAAAGAGAAGATGTGCTATTTTCGATGAACACTCGGCGAGTACTTTGTCTCGGGGTTAACAGTTGGGGGATAATTGCTTTCGTAAATGACGAGAGAACGTACAAATTTAGCGGATAACGGGAGTATTATAGTTTGGTATAGGGTGGTATAGGCGGTATACATAATTACACGTTATAAATAGACGCGTTTCGGATGAGAATACCATGAGAATCGAAGTGGTCGAACATGAGGGAGTCGAGGAAGCTCGAGGGAATTGTTAGAAAAATCGATACTTGCTGGCGCCATGATCATTTTTAGGTCAACCTTATTTTTTTTTTTTTTTTTTTTTTTTTTTTTTTTTTCATTTTTTTTTATCATTATAAAACAAGGATATTATTTGTGTTTAATTATTGTGTTTCGAGCGACGTTAAGAAATATTTCTCTCCATTCAAATTTACAAGCTTGTTGTTGTAAATAGTCATTTTATCGGAACTGTTTGTCTCATTTTGAATTGGAAATGCGACGTGCTTCGTTTCGAGAACTTTTGCTTAGTCAGAAATTGCTGATCAGAGAAATGAAGAATTGAAGAACATTTCGGAATGTTCAATAACAGAATTATTGGGTTACGGGATTCTCGAGCACGAATGTACTTGCTCATATGGAAACTGGATGGACTCAAAGACCGATTTTGAATTCCCTTTTTCCCTTCTCACGATCGATTCGCTATCTATCTGGTGATTTTAACGTGAAAAGGATGAGAATGCCAACTGTAATAATCCGAAACGAACCATTTCAACTCTGCGA